GGTCCAGGCAGGGCCGAGGCTGGGAGTCTGAGGTCCAGGCAGGGCCGAGGCCGGGGGTCTGAGGTCCAGGAGGGGTGAGGCTGGAGTCTTCTCCCATAACACGATCCCCTGGGATCCGGCGCCCCCTAGTGGCTTCAGTTACCTTCGTCTCGTCTCTAAGGCCCCGCCCGCAATGACAACCCGTCCTGCGCCCCTGGGGGTGACGGTCCCTCACGACTGTTAGGAGACTCTCCTCACCCCAGGACCCCCTTTCTTGGAGGAGGGACACGTCCCCCCACTGCTACAGGCCCCCAAAAGCCAGGACCTCCGCTCCTGAGGCCAAAACTGACTTGTTCCCCTTCAAAGCCTTTCCTGGCCTCAGGCGCCCCTTTGGGACTTGATCGCTGGGCCCCGCTTCCCGTCTGTCCATCCCCAGGACGGGGTGGCCTCCCCTTCGCCCCATTTTTAAAATATTTCTTTATTTTTGAGAGACAGAGAGAGAGAGAACTAGTGGGAGGGGTGGAGGGAGAGGGAGACACGGAACCCCAAGCAGCGTCCACACTGTCAGCACAGAGCCCTTCGCGGGGCTCGAACTGACGAACTTTGAGATCATGACCTGAATCGAAGTCGGTCGCTTAACCCACAGAGCCGCCCCGCGCCCCGTAAATGAATTTCTAATGGTGAAGATGTTGCCGTACGAGGGGAACTACACCCAGAGATCTCTCATCGTCTGAGACGCTGTAATGAACAGAACAGCCCTTATTTACCATGAATTCCTTGCGTGTCCTGCTTTGCGCTTCCCCAGAGCCGTCCTTCCCCGTTGGGAAGTCCGAACCCCCTTTTCTGGTGCTGAATCTAACGAGGCTTCTAAGCCCCGATTTTATGCCTCTGTGAGCTGCATTCTCTTTGTGAACACCTGTGCATATAGACATAGTTCAAGCTGGGTTTTCTGATAATCATTTATCTGTTTAATTTGCGGGCATCGGGTACAGAACATAAGAGGTGACAGGGAGAAGATTTTTCCTTACGTACAACGTCTACACTGCTCTGACTCCCCCCTTCCCCAGCCTCCTCCCGTCTGCACAATGTAGGAAGACTTCTCGCTTACTAACGAGACAGAGGGCAGAGGGACCTTACCTGGCTGCCCCAGGTAAGCACATAAAGTTGTGTCTCATTACACAACATTGGCAACTGTCTCTGGAACGCCGTTTCGTTGCCTATCTTAGCTCCGTCTCGGGAGTTTCTCCAACACAATTAGCCCCCCGCTTCGGGGGGTCACCCCGCCTCACAATGGCCTCAAAGCCCCGAAATTCATCACAGGGACGCCGGTGCAGCTGACGCCCTGTAAACCATGGCTTTGGTCCCTGAGGGTGATGGGGGGCCGTCCCCACCTGCCGGGACCTCTGTGAGTAGAGGCAAAGGTCACCCCAGGGCTTCGGCTCGGGTGCAGACTGACCTGCCTCATACCCCAAAGTGGCTGCTGTGGAGCAGTGTGTTCGTCGCCCGTTCCACAAGAGGAACGGTGGAAAAGAAGCGCCAGAGCTCACGCCGGCTGTTGCCCCCGGGGGTGGGGGGTGCAGGGGAGGGTCCCGGCCGCGCCGGGGACCTGACCTCTGACCGGCTGTGTCGTCCTGTGCAGGGGCAGCTGTGAGGCTGGGGATGGCGGCCCTGCTGCACGTGGTGAACTTCGTGCTCCTGACCTCGGCGAGCGGCGCAGAGCCAGGGCCGGGTGGGTGGGGCGTGGGCGTCCGGAGGGGGTGCGATGCCCACTCCCCGTTGATGCTGGGAGGGGGCAGAAGACCCTCCCCGCAGACCCAAGGGCCCCCCACCCGTCCCCGGAGGGGAAGGGGTCCTTCTGCAAATCACACTACTGGTGGACGTGATCCCCGAAGACAGTCAGGGGCCCAAAGGCGAAGATTGATCCCCAGACCCCGAACCGTCCGGGGGTCAGACCCGCCGCGTGTCCGGGAGAAGCTTGCTGACACCCCCGCCCGGGACCCCCGACCCGCAAAGCCTCTCCCCGCAGGTGCGGGAGAAGGCAGACATCCCCCCGCAGCAGAGGGCGCCCGGGAACTCAGTCCGTCAGCGTCCGCCCCTTGGTCTGGGCTCTGGGCCTGACCTCAGGGTTCCAGGGTTCAATGTCATGGTCGTGCCCTGACCGCGGGGGCCTGCGCGGATTCTCTGCCCCCCCCCCCAATAAATAAGCAGAAAACGTGTGCAGTGACCACGGGAAATGCCACGTCCTTCTGGGCCTGGGGGCGGCCACGCTCTGCTTTCCCGTGAGGACACACGCGGTCGGATGCTCAGCGGCCGGAGCCACCCAGGAGCCCCCGGGCTCCAGCCCCCGCAGTGTTTGATATATTTTTCAAATCACTTTCTGTATTTTCCTGAAATTTTCAAATATTGTCACTATCACTAACTTGTCCGTATGTTTCAAGTTATTTTCTGTATTTTTCTGAAAATTTCACTTTATTGTCACTATCGCTAACTTGTCTGTATGTTTCAAATTACTTTCTGTATTTTTCTTTTCTTTTTAATTTTTTAAAGATTTTATTTTTAAATAGTCTCAAATTATTTTCAGTATTTTTCTGAAATTTTCAAATTATTACTATCGCTAACTTGTCTGTATTCTCAAATTACTTTCTGTATTTTTCTGAAAATTTCGATTTATCATTACTATCGCTAACTTGTTTGGTTTTCAGATTATTTTCTATATTTTTTTATTTTTTAAAGATTTTATTTTTAACTCATCTCTACATGTAAGGCTTGAACTCACAATCCTGAGATCAAGAGTTGCACACCCCACCGACTGAGCCTGCTTACGTGCCTCTGTATTTTTCCGTATTTTTCAAATTATTACTGCACTTAACTTGTATATCTCAAATTATTTTCTGTATTTTTCAAATTATCACTATACCTAATTTCTCTGTATTTTTCAAATTACTTTCTGTGTTTCTCGAGTTACTATCACTATAGCTAAGTTCATGGGTATGAAGTGACATCATTGTGCTTTGTTTTTTAAATGTCTTTCCACTTGTTTCAAAAAGTTTATGTTATTTTTTAATTTCATTTTATTTACTTTTATATTTTTTAATATAACTGATTGTCAAATTGGTTTCCATACAACATATTTTTGAGAGAGAGCACACGAGTTGGGGACGGGCAGAGAGAGAGAAAGACAGGGAATCCCAAGCAGGTGCTGTGCGTCAGCGCAGAGCCCACCTTGGGGCTCGATGCTACGAACGCTGAGATCAGGTGCTGAGCAAAATCAAGAGACAGACGCTTGACGGACCGAGCCCCCCACGCGCTCTGATAATGTGGGTTTAATTTTTTTGTTTTTTATCACAGAGCAAAAGAATGTATCTCCTATTGTGAACATGCAGCTGGATTCAAGGAAAAAGATGCTAACCTGGAATTACATGAGAAACGTGAGTGGGCACGAATGCATCATAGACACGCCGCCGGACTATTCCGCCAGGGTAGACCCGCAGGTGCGTGTCCGAGCCTCGCGCCTTACGGCTTTGCTCCTTTTAAATCCTGAATTTTCCTGTGAAATGACTCTCGAGTCCCCAGACAGCTTTGATTTCTCCTCTTAGTGCTTTTGTCCGGGAAGAAAAAAACAATCCTATATACGCTTATGTTCGGAAATAGGGGTGTGCAAATTAAAATGACAAATGCAAGATTTGGGGGAAGAAAAAACATACAGATTTGTTCCTGTTTTAACTTTTTACATCCATGAAGATGAACAGGAAGGAACTGAATACCCAAAGTGTGGGGAGCTTTGGTACCATTTTTTAAAATGTTTTATTTATTTCTGAGACAGAGACAGCGTGAGCAGGGGAGGGGCAGAGAGAGAGGGAGACACAGAATCGGAAGCAGATCCAGGCTCTGAGCTGTCAGCGCAGAGCCCGATGTGGGGCTCGAACCCACGAACGGTGAGATCATGACCTGAGCCAGAGTCGGACGGTGGGGGTAAAATTTACACACTAAATCCCGCGTATTGAGGAAGAACGTAACAGCCGTCTTTTCTGCACCCGCCTTTACTTTGATTTCTCTCCTTCCGTGAGGGAGGAGGGGGAAAGACACGGATTTGTCCGTTATGTGCACTCCACGCCCTTCACATCAGAACACCCCCCCTCCCCGACTCCATCACGGTCTGTGGGCTACGTTCACTCAGCCAGCGTACAGTTCAGATACTTCCTTAGCTTCATTCCAAGGATGTCGGGGAAGGAAAATTAGTATGTACCCTCTTAGGTTCGGTGTCCAGGGGCTGTGAATTAACCTGATGAGAGATGAAGAGAAGGAAGGAAATGTATTGCTATGCCTATGGAGCTTACAAAAAAAGTAGCCCAGTGAATAAGTCAAGTTAAGACCTTCTACAGCTAACAAGTGGGGAAAAGGGAAGACAGGGCGCCTGGGTGGCTCAGTCGGCTAAGTGTCCAACTTTACCTCAGGCCATGATCACACGGTTTGTGGGTTTGACACCCACATCGGGCTCTGTGCCGACAGCTCGGAGCCTCAAGTCTGTTTCAGATTCTGTGTCTCCCCCTCTCCCTGCCCCTCCCCGCTTGCCGTCTGTCTGACTCTCTCAAAAATAAATAAACATTAGAAGAAATTTAAATAAATGTTGAAAAAAATTTTAGTCAGATGAGAGAAACTTCCCCCCAAATGTTTCTTTCTGCATCTCTTGAATCCAAGTGTCTTCAGCTTATAACAATTATGGGGTTCCCCGGGGGAGGGCCCCACAGCGGGTGGGGGTGCCCCGGACAGGGCAGCAGGTACTAATCCTGCCCTGGGCGCTTCCAGCAGCTCAGATCCCCTCCACGCTGGGCCCGTCGGGATTGCTCCGTAAAATGGGTCTATAATGACACGGAAATGCAAACCGCGGAAAACGCCATGTTGGAGAATTAGCAGCTGGGCCTTGTTTTGTTTCCGCTCGATTTACCGCAGGCTTGAGTAGGAGTTTTATGCGGGAGCCTCTGGCGCCACCCGCAGGCTGATGGGGGTATTGCGTTCCGTCCAGAGAGAGTCCTGGGGGGAGGGGGAGGGGGAGACACTTTTTAAATTACAAGCGTTTGCTGTTGTCGGTGGAGGAAAGCCCCTGAGGCTACGGGCTCTGTGTCCAAAGTTCCTTGATCTCCTTATAAAGTCAGCGTGTTCGGAAACAGCGTCCGGTTGTCCGAACGTTATCCGTTTACAAAGAATGCTCATGTGGCTCCTTCCCCCAGAACCGTATGCACTTTGTTTCCATTTCCATTTTCATTGCAAATTCCAGAAAACCCTCGAAAGTTCAGCGTTTCTGTACAAATGACAACAGTGCCTGTTGATGTAAAAAAAGAGAAAGAAAAAAGGCAAAAACCTTCTTTTTCAGAACACAGAGATTCCCTTACATTCTTGCTGTTATAAGATTTTTCCCCCCAAAATTTGCACAGTCTTGAAAGCTTGTTTTGGGAGCCTCACTTTTTCCCCTCCTCGTTTCCCTGCATCGACCTCAGTAAAACAGACCATGCACAAGCTTAGTACAATATTTTTTTTAAAAAATTAAGTTTATTTCTCTGAGCACAAACAGGGGAGGGGCGGACAGAGGGAGAGACAGAATCCCAAGCAGGTTCCACGCGGTCAGCGCTGAGCCTGATGTGGGGCTTGAACTCACAAACGGTGAGATCATGACCTGAGCCGAGATCGAGCATCAGGACGTTAACCTACTTTGCCCCCGAGGTGCCTCTGAGCTTAGCACAATTTTTAAAAAAGCATGAGTTCAGTGTCTGAACCTGGTGTTTGGAGTGTTGTGCTTTTTTATCGTTTTACATTTTTTTTTAAGATTTTATTTTTAAGGAAATCTCTACGCCCAACGTGGGGCTCAAACTCACAACCCTGAGATCAACAGTCGCACGGTTTTACGACCGAGCCCGCCAGATGTCTCACATTTTTAAAAAATGTTGAATGAAATCAGCTCTTTCCAGAATATTCTGTGAGTGGCGTTTGATCTGAGCTGTGCGAGCAACAGAAAATGGAGTCTGTATTTTCTTAAGAGCCGACATTTGTGTGTTGGGGGGGGTTGGGTTTGTGGTTCATTTCCTTCCGTGTGGTCTGCACAATTCTGAGGGTTTTCTGCTGCAGGAGAAAGAAAAAAGAAGAAGAAAAAAAAGCTCGTTCTTCTGCAGAGAGAGGTCGTGATGTTAGGAGACGCTTGCTGAGCCTTCATCTCAACTGGCTCAGTCATCTCCCAGGGCTTTGTTAGGGAAAAGCTCCTTCCAGTGTGTCTATGTGTGTGTGTGTGTGCGTGTGTGTGTGTGTGTTTAATCCTCGGGTTCCCTTCTTTGTTGAGACCTGAGCACTTTTCTGCAGAGTCAGAACATGCGGTGGGTCGCAGAATTGCACAATTTCTCGGTGGGATTTGGGGTTTTCCGTGAGCCCAGCAGCCGAGCCGGAGGGAAGACAGGACAGGCTGGGGCTGATGGAACAGCATTCCTCAAACTCGTGGGGGGTTTTTTTGTTTTGTTTTCTGTTTGTTTGTTTTTTAATTTTTTAAAATGTTTTATTTATTTCTGAGAGAGAGACAGCGTGAGCAGGGGAGGGTCAGAGAGAGAGGGAGACACAGAATCTGAAACAGGCTCCAAGCTCTGAGCTGTCAGCACAGAGCCCGACATGGGTCTCAAACCCATGAACTGTGAGATCATGACCCGAGCCAAAGTCAGATGTTTAACTGACTGAGCCACCCAGGCGCCCCTCAAACTCGTGTTTTTATTCCTTCCTTAGCAGCCCCCACCCCCGCAAAGCAGGATAGGAGGCGGGATAGGGGTTCTTCGCAGCCTGAGGATTTCCAGCCACCACCCCCCCCCCCCCCCCCCCCCCCCCCGTGTAACTTTCTGCACCGCGTTTGGTGCAGACACATGCTAACGGGGCTTGGGTTTCCTAGGACTTGAACTTGAGGGGCTCGGGTTTTCTAGGACTTGAACTTGAGGGGCTCGGGTTTTCTAGGACTTGAACTTGAGGGGCTCGGGTTTCCCAGGTTTTGAACTTGGGGGGCTCGGGTTTCCCAGGACTTGAACTTGGGGGGCTCGGGTTTCCCAGGTTTTGAACTTGAGGGGCTCGGGTTTCCTAGGACTTGAACTTGAGGGGCTCGGGTTTCCCAGGACTTGAAGTTGAGGGGCTCGGGTTTCCCAGGACTTGAACTTGAGGAAGTGCGCGTGTCTGTAATCATCCACCTCCTGGCCAGTCCACGCTGAGCGCCCACCGCGGCCCCCCCTGCGCCCCCGGAGTGCAGGGGCTTCACAAACAGGATGCAGCAGTGCTGACAGTTCTCCGGTTCGCTCCGAGTTTCCTCTCCAGCTTTTTTTAACCCCGTGTCCTCAGCTCTCGGCGTTCTGCACGTGACGCTGGTTGGGAGGCGGCTCTGGGTCCCCCGCGGCCCATCCCCTTGTGCCAGTTCCGCATTCCCTCCCGGCCCGGGGTGGGGGTGGGGGGCCAGGGACAGGTGCCGGGGTCCCGGGCAGGACGATGATGAGAAATGAGCAGTCCCCTTCGCCCATGAAGGAGACCGGAGCGTGGCCCCCGCTACAATGTGCATCACGTTTGCAACTATGTTGCACAAAAGGCTACACTGTCTGATCGCGGTGACGTCATATGCCCCCAACAACAACTCTTGAGAAGTGAAAGTGGATCAGGGTCTGCCAGGGGCTGAGGAAAGGGGTCCGCTCTGCGTGGGGATGGGGGAGGGGATGAGAATGTTCTGGAAACAGAGGTAGTGGCCGCCCGACATTGCAAATGTGCTCACTGCCTCCCCCGGGCCGCCTCAAAGGGATCGAAATGCTGTTTTCTGGTTATCTAAGCACAATAAAAAAATGAAAATTAAGAATATCTGTAAAAAGCTGAAGCGCAGAGAAAAAGATAAATATAGGAATGTGTAGGTAATGGGGCGCCTGGGTGGCTTAGTCGGTTAAGCGTCCGACTTTCACTTAGGTCATGATCTCGCGGTTCGTGGGTTCGAGCCCCGCGTCGGGCTCTGTGCTGACTGCCAGCTCGGAGCCTGGAGCCTGTTTCAGTCTGTGACTCCCTCTCTCTCTGACCCTCCCCTGCTCACGCTGTCTCTCTCTCTCTCTCCTAGAAATAAATAAAACATTAAAAAAAAAAAAAAGGAATGTGTAGGTAAATCAGACAAAGGTCTCCGCCCATCCTCAAGCGCCCCCCCCCCCCCCCCCCCCACACACAGGTTGAGAAGGACGGGGCCCTTCATCACCCGACAGCGTCCTTTCCTCCTTGTCTCAGTCACAAATGGGCCCTGGTGCATTTATTTCTTTTTTTTATAATTTTTTAATGTTTTATTTATTTCTGAGAGAGAGAGAGAGACAGCATGAGCAGGGGAGGGTCAGAGAGAGAGGGAGACACAGAATCCGAAGCAGCTCCAGGCTCCGAGCTGTCAGCACAGAGCCCGACGCGGGGCTCGAACCCACGGACCGTGAGATCACGACCTGAGCCAAAGTCGGCCGCTTAACCGACGGAGCCCCCCAGGCGCCAAGCCCTGGTGCATTTACTGCTTCTGACACATTTTCCTACTAAAATCTCTGAATGTGTTGCCCACAAGCTTCCTCCCTGGTCAGGGTCCTATTGCTTGTCAATTACCTGATTTTTTGCAAATCCCGGATTTTCCCGCCTGCTTTTCTTTAAATGATGGGAGTCTCCCCCCGCCCCCCACACCAGGCCTGGTAAGTGCCAGGGACCTAGTGCAGGGATCTGGGACTGTCACCCACACGCATGCAGAACCCCCTTCCAGAATGTACTCTGGAGGCCAGATTCCAGAGGGCAGGCCCCGGCTGGATTGTCAGGCACATTTGCACACCCCGTCCCCCCTCGGTCCCCACCCCACAGCGGTCCAGGCTCTAGGGCCACCGTCTCTTACCTTTGCGGAGCCTCAAAGTCAGGCAGAGAAGTGGGAAAACTTTCTAGTGGCGCAGGCAAGCACAAACTCTTTTCCTCTACACTCTTAAGTGCCGTGATGGAGCTCTGCAAATTAGACACACAAAAGCCAGATTCACTGAGGCAGGTTTTCTATACTGGTAAAAATTCAAGGTGCCACGAGGTGGGGGCTTCAGGGAAGGAAGAAAATGGCCCCAATGAAGCAGTGAGACTTGAGAGTTTTATACCATTTTTTTTCACACAGAGCAGTAAATCATGCAGATGTGACGAGAGACAGGAAACTAGGCCGAGGGCAGAAATTGGGGGAAGGAAGACATTTGAAGGAAACTATTGGAGGACAGGGTTAGTTTTAGTCAGTTTGTTCATGCCGGTCCGAGCCGGTGCCAACTTTCCGTCCTGCTCATGGTCATAAAACTTCCCCCCGAGACCCCGGGTCCGCGGAATGTATTAGAACTTTCCGCTGTGAGTCACATCAGGGCTGCGGGCATTCCGCGCCTCCCTGTTCTGAGAACGGTCCTCATGCCCAGGTGGGAAACGGGGACAGAAGCAGGGACGTCATCGGCATTCGTGTGGTCCCGGCCGTCGTGGGTCAGGCCGTGGTCTGTGACGACCGTAGTTATTCGGGGAAACGAAGCGAGGTGGGCGCTGCCCCGGGGAAGTGTGTCCTGCACGCGCGGTGACCTCAGGGCGCTGCTGGGGTGGGTGGAGGGGTCTCCGGCGGGTCCGAGGCAGGGACACGGGGCAGGGACGCCTCCCGACAGTGAACTGTGGCCTCTGCAGGTGACGCAGGACCTCAGCTACGTGTGCGCCTTCCCCAACTCCGTGCTGCGCAGCGGGGCCACCCTGACCCTGAACGTCACTTGTGATGGGGCCGTGTTCCAACGAGTCCTGAGCTTCGCCAACCCAGGTGAGGTCCCGTCAGCGGGGAGCGCAGGGTTCCCGGCACGTCCCCACCGGCTCAGGGTTTTGGGCGCCGTCTCCCCAGGCAGGGAAGGTTCCGGAGCCGTGAACTTCTCCTGCCTCATTTACCACGTGCGCTTCATGAACTGCAGCTGGGCGCCGGGCCCCGCCGCCCCGGCTGACGTCCAGTATCGCCTCTTCTCCTGGGCGTCCAGGTGAGCCGCACCCCCCGCCCCTGGCATCTAGGCGGGGACCTAACTTCAGTGCTAAGCCCGCGTGGGGCCCAGCGAGGCTTCAGAAGCGTTTGGCCCAGGGGCCGGGGGTGAGCGGCCTCTGGCTGCCCCGGGGGCGGGACCCGTGTCTAGTACGTGTATTTTCCCAAGAGGCACATCAGAGCCTTCCTGTGCGAGGGAATGCGAAACGAGGGGGAAAAAAATCCTCTACACTGTTAGGTTTGTGAACAGGGCGTGCAAATTAAACTGGCAAGCACTATATTAACAGGAGAAAAGCATGCAATGTTTACTTTTATATGCACGGAGTGGGGCCTCCATAGAAAAGAAATGGTTGAGGGGCGCCTGGGGGGCTCAGTCAGTTAAGTGTCCGACTCTTGCTTTGGGCTCAGGTCATGATCTCACGGTTCATGGGTTCGAACTCTGGTTCCGGCTCTGCTGATGAAGAGACGCACAGAAGGGGCAGAGAGAGGGAGACACAGAATCCAAAGCAGCTCCAGGCTCCAGGCTCCGAGTTGTTAGCACAGAGCCCGACGCGGGGCTCGAACCCACCAACCGCGAGATCATGACCTGAGCCGAAGTCGGACGCTCAACCGACTGAGCCCCCCAGGCGCCTCGTCACCACCTCGACTTAAACGTGCCCCTAAATGTCCCTCTTGTACGTGACAGTCATGAGGCCGAGGCGGAATGTGTCCACTACGTCGTCGATGCCACGGGGACACGTGTGGGCTGCCATTTTGATCAGCTCGGCAAACCCCACAGGATGGATAATTACTTCTTCCTGCTGAACGGAACCAGCAGGGAAACACAGATCCCGTTTTTGGATTTCACTCCATTTAAAGCCGTTCAAATGGGTAAGACGCTGCCTCACTGTGCCTTCTCCCCGCCGACCCGGGGAAGCGAGATCCATATCTAGTACTTGCATTTTCCCCAAGAGGCACATCAGGGCCTTCCTGTGCATGGAAACGCAAAACAAGAAAAAAGATTATCCTCTACACTCTTAGGTTGGTGAACGGGGCATGCGAATTAAACTGACAAGCACTATATTAATAGGAGAAAACATACACACTTAATGTATTTTTTATACACATGGAATGGGGCCTTCATATGAAGGAAATGATTGAGGGCCCCTGGGGGGGCTCAGTCGGTTAAATATCCGACTCTTGCTTTCAGCTCAGGTCATGATCTCACACGTTCATGGGTTCGAGCCCCGGATCGGGCTCTGCGCTGACGGTGTGGAGTCTGCTTGGACTTAAAAAAAAAAGAAATTTTAATAGAAAGCAATGAATTGGGGAGTTATGACCCAACAAACAAAAAGAGGTGGTAAACTGAGGAAAGTTTATGTGGAAACTAATGAGAGACGGGGTGACGTCAGCACAGGTCGTTTGTTCAGATTCGTCTTGGTTCCGACTTTCTGGTCATCAAACACCTACAACTTCCCCGGAGTCGGGATTCATGGAAATCCTTATTTCTTGCTGAAAAAATGTTTATTTTGGGGAGAGTGCAAGCGGGGGAGGGGCGGAGAGAGGGGATCAGAGGACCCAACGCGGGCTCAGCACCGACAGCGGTGAGGCCCGTCCGGGGCTCGAATCCTCGAACCCAGAGATCGCGACCCGGGCCGAAGTCGGACGCTCAACCGACTGAGCCCCCAGGGACCCCTGTGAGGCTCCGTTTTTAAGGCCGTTTCAGGTTTACGGAAACGCAGAGCCGAGGTCAGAGAGGGGGCGCGTCGCCCCGGCCCGTTCCCCGATCAGGACCGTCTGACCCGCGTGTGTGTGTTGTGTGTCTGGCGGCAGAGAAGTACGACCCGCCCGCGAACCTCACCGTCGCCCACAATCGATCGCACCACGTCATCCGCTGGGACAACCCCACGATCCGATTCGACATCTCGAGTCACATGCTGTGCTATGAGCTGGACGTCCAGACGGCGGTAAGCAGCACCTGACCGTGAACGCCCCACAGCCGCGGTCCGGCCCGTTCGCTCGTGTGCAAAGCTCCCGGCCCCCCCCACCCACGGGCCCGGCACGGGCGTGTCACCCCTTTTTTATGATACCGACTTACTTTTTTTTTTTTATTTTTAAAAAGTAGTCTCTCTGGGAGCGCCTGGGTGGCTCGCGGGTTAAGCATCAGCTCTTGGTTTCGGTAGATCGTGATGTCATCGTTCGTGAGTTCGAGCGCCGCGTCAGGGCCTGTGCTGAATCCTTGGGATTCTCTCCCTGTCTCTCGGACCCTCCCCTGCTCGTTCTCTCCGTGTCTCTCTCTAAATCAATATACTTTAAAAATTATTTATAAAATTTTTTTTTCAAGTAATCTCTACGCACAATTTGGGATTGGGTCGTGAGCAGCCCAGACCCCAGGGCCTTTGCACATACCACAGCCTCCACCCACAGAGGTTCAAATCCACAACTCCGAGCTCAAGAGTGGCATGCCCCCCCCAAAGGAGCCGGCCGGGTACCCCAAAATAGCATTTATCTTTATTTATTTATTTTAAGCTTATTTATTTATTCTGGGAGAGAGAGAGAATGAGCAGGGGAGGCGCAAAGAGAGAGGGAGACACAGAACTAGGCTCCAGGCTGGGTCACGCTGGGTCACGTGCAGGGGACGCCCCCCTGGGTGCTCAGCGTGACCACGTCCCCCCTGAGCCCCACATCTGGCCTCGTCCCCGAGTCCTGGAAGTTGGGGACTTTCCGGCCGACGCAGCCTCTCCGTTTCCTCACGACCTGGGGCCTCGCCGTGTGAGTCCCTCACAGAGGGAGGGTCACGGGCAAAACCCGTTCTCGTCTTCGTCACACACTGTCCCGCACACTGACACCCGCGTCCCCCAGGCTCCCCCTGCGCCCCTGCCTGGGGGATTCGGTCCCGAGCACCCCAGACCCCAGGGCCTTTGCACACACTGCTGCCGCTGCCCCCAGGCTCTGCCTGCACCCCCAAGTGCGGGGTCCGTGTCCGTATCCGCGCCCGTTCTGACCACCGCCGGTGCGTCTGCATCGCGCCTCCCTGTCCGCCTTCTCCCCGGCCCCGTCTGCACTCAGCCGCTACCGGAACGTTCCTCTGCCTCTGTTTTCTGCCTCTTGCGTCCAGCGGGCGAGTTGCCTGAGCACAGGGGGTCCCTGTTCGGATACCTACGGCGACGGCAGAGCCGGGCACACATTGGTGCTCAATAAATGTTGCCGAATGAGTGAATGTCAGGAATATCCGTGTGTGCGCGGCCCCCAGACGCCACGAGAGCCCCTCTCCTGCCCACGGGACCCACCGCCAGCCGTGGATCTGCTGTCCCCGATCCGTCCCCAGGGCTCATGTGTGGGACTCCACACAGGTGAGCTCACCTCACCGGTGACGGAGGATAAGCAGGTGTCTTCTCACTGGTGACCTGAACAGTGAGCTATGCACACGTGACCTCACAGAAGTGACCTCGCACGTGAGCTCACACAGCTGACTTCACAGGTGACCCCATATAAGTGGCCTCGCACAGGTGGCCTCACACAGGTGACCTCACACAGGTGACCTCACACGGGTGATCTCACACAGGTGGTGTCACCCAGATAACCTCACACAGGTGGCCTCACCCAGGTGACCTCGCACAGGTGGCCTCGCACAGGTGGCCTCACACAGGTGGCCTCACACAGATAACCTCTCCCAGGTGACCTCACCCAGGTGACCTCACCCAGGTGGCCTCACACAAGTGGCCTCGCACAGGTGGCCTCACCCAGATGACCTCTCCCAGGTGACCTCACCCAGGTGGCCTCACCCAGGTGGCCTCACCCAGGTGGCCTCACACAGGTGTGCAAGCCCGCTGTCCTGTGCATGTCATGCCCCAGGCACCAGGACGCCGGGGGCAGGTCCCCGTTGGTGGTGAGCTCCCGACCAGCTCTGTCCGCAGAGCCTCACAGATGCTTCCGGCAAATACGGGTTGGCATGGGCGACGGCCTCTGAGGCGCTTCGTCCGTACTACACACCTGAACGCTCGAACAAATGGTACCTTAGGGGCCGCCTTCCCGCCACCTGTACGATCCCCGGAGAACATTCACGAGCCGGCAGTAAATTCACAGCAAGGGAACTTTGCATTGAAGTTTCTCTTCCCTCTTACGTCCTGCACCTGCGGGATGCGAATTAAACAAAAGGGAGGGGCGCCTGGGGGGCTCAGTCGGTTGAACGTCCAACTTCAGTTCAGGTTCGAGCCCCGCGTCGAGCTCCGTGCTGACCGCTCAAAGCCTGGAGCTGCTTCTGCTTCTGTGTCTCCCCTCTCTCTCTCTGCACCCCCACTTGTGCTCTGTGTCACAAAATATAATAAACGTTGAAAAATATCTTAATTAAAAATACATAAATAAACAAAAGGGACAACTAAGAGGAGAAACGAAAGGCCAATGTTATTCCTCTGCGTATGGGAGCTCAGCAAACAAGTGAATCTTGAATAGCTACAGTTTGGGGCTTACCCGCCTAACTAGGTTGAAGGGAAAGGGAAGGAAAAAGCTTCTAGAAGAACGAAGTTTCTAGAAAACGAGGGTGTAGAACAGGTGTTTTGATGTACAAGCCTTCTTTGTGGGCGGAACCCCCCCTGCGGAAGGGATTGAGGGTACAGTCGGTCGTTCCTGGAAGGGAGGTGTCCCCACGGGGCGATTTCAGGCACCCCCTCATTCCCAGTCTTCTGCTCTCCGACCGGAAGGGAAGGTCTGAGGCTTCTTCACACCAGTCCTGGGAGGCGGGGGTGGGGGTGGGGGGGGTCCCCACATTTGCAGACGATGCAGAAAACACTAACAATTTTTCCGTGTTCACAGGGTACCCCCGCCGGCAGTAACCCTGTAAGTACCCCGTCCGTTGTCTGCGACGTCCGGGCTGGGACACCCCAAAGAGCCGCCCTTGATCCCCGCGGGCGCACACGGCCCCCTCTTCCCTCGCAGGTTTTCCAGCGGGGCCAGGACCGCAATGTGTACGCGATGCCCGGCTCCGCGCTCAGGGGCGAGGCCGCCCTGCGGGCGAGGGTGCGGTACGTGTACGGCCACGTGTGGAGCGACTGGAGCCCCGCCGCGCGGCTGGGTGAGCGCCCGACACCCCGGGCCCCGCCGCCCCCGCCCCGTCCGCCTCTTGCGTGGACTCGGGGTCCACGCCCCCACCCCCGTCCAGGACGAGGTCACCTCGGACCCTGACGTCATCACAGCTGTGAGACCCGGGGGGCCCCGTTCACCGTTTCGGGGTGACCGCTCGGAGTATGCACCAGTTGGATGCCTACCTGCTCTGCAGGCCGGCAGCCCCCTCCCAGAAGAGCCTCGAATGCACTCCTGGGGCGCGTTCTTTCTAGAAAACGGAGCTACCCAAGGAAACCTCCGGTGAGACGGAAAACACGCCTCTCACCTGCGTTCAGGTTTCGCAGTTAGGCATTCATTCCTTTGGCAATGCAGTGTGGTGTTGACCCTGAGCGTCCATGGAGCAGGATTGCGTTGTGGGGAACTAGTTGTCTCCTCGTGCAAATGTATCCGGGGGGCCATCTCTCGGGGGCAGGGGTGGGGGATGGGGCCTGGAGGAGGGCGCCCTGGGAGGGCCCGGTAGCCCAGAAAGGTCAGATCCGCCCGGCCAGGCCAGCGTTCCTGAGTCCCGCGGAATCGCTCTCCGCGCCGCAGCCCCGCGGCCTCGCCCCCCACCCCGCGCGTGGCCGGGGCGCTTGGTGTGCGCGAGGCCGACCCCGCGCGCCCCTGATCCGCGTCTGTTCCCCGCCAGGCCTCGGGGAGCGGGACTCCGGCGGCGCCCTGCTCGGGCTCGCGGGGGGCGCCGCGGCGGCCGCGCTCGTCTTCGCGTTCGTGTGCAGACGGTAAGCGCCCCCCACCCGCCCTTCCCAGGAGGCCACGCGGCGCTGACCCGGACCCCGGGGGCGGCCGGGGCCCGCGAACTTTGAGGGGGGCCCGCGCATCCGGGGAGGGGACCCGCGAATCCGGAGACGTGGGCCTCGAACCCAGAGGCGGGAGGAGCCGAGTCGAGGTTGCTTAGCGCTGGCGACGAACGGGAGGGACTTGCCCCCCAGGAGCGGGGTCTCTGCTGCGTCAGCCGCGACCCGCGGCCACACAGCCGCAGGGGCGAGGTCGGAAGGACCCTCCCGCCCCGTGTGCCTGTGGGCTGCTCTTCTCCCAGCCGAGAGCCCTCCGGGTCCAGACCCTGCGCCCTGAGGTCGCCCGAGGGGGGGTGGGGGGCGCAAAGCACGACCCGGAGGCCCCGCCCCGTGTCCACAGCTGGGACTTGCTCGCAGGGTCCGCGGTGAGGGCGGCCCTCCTGGTGCCTCAATTACGCGGGTTCTTGGGGAGGGATGGTGACGGGGGGGGGGGGGGGGGGGGGGGGGGGGGGGAGCAGGCCGGTGACCCTGGACAAGCCCCGCCCCGCGGCAGGGGAGTGTCCAGGAGACCCCGGAGCTGTGGGCGGGGCGTCCGCCTCCCACCTGGGGCCCCAGGTCCCTGATACGCGGGGACCAGATTCAAACCCCCGGGGAGTCCTGGGGGCTCCGCGGCGCAGGGGCGCCCCGACCTGGCCGGGGTTCCTGGGCACCAGGGTTCTCCCGGAGGGACGTGCGGCGGCTGGGGGGCGGGGCGCCCGCCCTCGGTGCCCCTCACGGTGTCCGTCCCCGCAGGTTCTCCGTGACGCGCAGGCTGCTCCCTCCCATCCCGCAGGTGAGGAAGGAGGTCGCCCAGGCCCTCACGACCGCCCCCGCGGTGAGTGACCCTCCGTCCGCACCCAGAGGTGGGCGCGTCCCCTCCCGGCGGCCGGGGGTGTGTGAGGTCCCGGGGTGCGGGTGGGGGGGTCTCTGGAGGCGGGGCTGTCCGGGGGTGTGTGAGGTCTCGGGGTGCGGGCGGGGGAGGTCCCTGGAGGCGGGGCTGTCCCGGGGTGCGCCGCTGGTGCGCGGGGGTCAGCGGAGGGGTCACGCGGGTCGAGCCGCCTCCAGCACACAAGGCGGTGCACGGGGGGCGCTCACCCCAGAAGCCGAAACCCCGGGCCACGGAGACGCACGGTCCCCCCTCTGCGGAGACGCGCATGGCGCCTCTTCCCTGCTGCACATCCGGGGCTGGTGGGGCCCCTCCCGGGGCGGGCGCTGGGGGAGACCGGCACCCCCTCCCCCATCGCCACACCTCGGACCCATCACGTGGGCGAAGAAACACCCCATTTCCAGATAGAGCCGCCTTCGCCTCCTTGAGCCCCAAGTGCCTCCCCCTGATGACGCACCCAAAGCAGCCCGTGGGGGCTCCGCACCCCGGGTCGTCCGCGAAGCTGGGCTGCCCTCCCGTGGTGGGGGGTGTTGAGGGTCCGTGGATAAAATTGGGGCGAGGCTATGGGGTTTCCTAGTGCGTCTCAGGTCAGGCCCGCGCAGGGCCCTGCGAGTTAGGGGACCAGCCGGCCTTCCCGGGTCGCATCCACAGGCCACAGTCTGACCGACGCACCAGGTCGGGGACCCCCCACCCCCGTTTCCTGCTTCTCTGGGAATCAGGGGCCGCCTGCGGGTGGGGATCCGGGTCCCCATTTCACGGTGGGCACGAAGGACCCCTCCCATGAGCTACTGGCTGGAAAGGGGATTCTCAGCCTCCGGTTGCCCGGGGTCGCCCCCACCCCTTGAATTGGGGGCGGCGTCCCTGAGTTCGGACGGCCGCCGTGAGGGATCCGCTCCTTTTCGTGGCCGCGTAATATTCCCCCGAGCGCGTCTCCCTGCGTCCGCGCGCCCCGCACGGATGGTTCCTTGGGCGCAGGGGCCCCCCTGTGCGGGGAGGGGTCTCAGCGCTGGCCGCCTCCCGTGTCTCAGGTCCCCTGGGACGACGGCCCCCCGCCGCCCGGCTCCCCGGACCCCGAGGACGTCGTCACGCTGGACGGAACGTGGTGACGCGCGCCGGGACGCGCACACGCAGTGCGTCCCGCCCCGGAGCGCTTCTGGAAACCGCGCTCGTGGGCACCGTTCCCTCCGTCTGGGAAGAGCAGTCGGCTGACCCGCAGCAGCGCGGCCCCCGAACCCCGCAACCCGGCTTTTCCTTTTTTTTTTTTGGGGGGGGGGGGTTGTGCTCACGTCCAAACGGTGGGATCGCGTGTACCGCGTGGTGGCCGTGCGCGCGGCGCGCTGACCGTCCGTGTGTCCGGCGCTCCGAGGCCCCAGGCGGACGCACGGCGACCCTGAAAGAGGCCGGCGGGCCCCCCGCGCCCCCGCGCCCCCACCCCCGGTGCACCTGGCCGGTCCTGCAAGCTGAAAAGCGAATTTGGAAACGCGGAGGAAACGCGCCGTGCCCTTTACGCAGCGAGCGTTTCCCAACGGGACGACACAAGTGGCTGGGGGGGGGGTGGGGGGGGTTAGGATCGGATCAGAGGGCGGGGCCCCCCCCTTGAGAGCACGCAGTCCTTACACAGTCCTGGGGGCGCCCCCCGCCCCCCGCCGTGAGACGGGCGGTGCCCAGGGCGCAGGCCGCAGGGAGACAGCGCCTTTCCCGGATGGTAAAATAAAATAAAATAAGAAAATAAAGAAATAATAAAAAAATACAGGCGCCTGGGGGGCTCAGTCGGTTGAGCGTTGACTCTGGCTCAGGTCATGACCTCACGGTTCGTGGGTTCAGGCCCCGCGTCGGGCTCTGTGCTGACTGCCGGCTCGGAGCCTGGAGCCTGTTTCAGTCTGTGTCTCCCTCTCTCTCTGACCCTCCCCTGCTCACGCTGTCTCTCTCTCTCTCTCTCTCTCTCTCTCTCTCCTAGAAATAAATAAAGCGTTAAAAAAAGAGATAAAAAGAAATTTTAAAAAATAAAATAAGATAAAATGAAATAATAAAAAATGGAATAAAATGACGTGAAACAAAATAAGATAAAATAAAATAAAATAATAAAAAATAAAAGAAGATAAAGTGAAGTAAATAAAATAAGAAGATAGAATATAGTAATATAAAATAGTAAAAATAAAATAAGAAGATAAAGTAAAATAAAATAACACAAGACAAAATAAAGTAAGACAAGACAAAACGTAAGATAAAATAAAGCACAATGAAACAAAATAATAAGAACACAAGATAAAACAAGGTCAAATGAGAGAAGACAAAAAATAAGATAAATAAAATGCAATGAAATAAAATAATAAGGGCGCCTGGGGGGCTTAGTCGGTTGAGCGTCCGACTTTCGCTCAGGTCACGATCTCGCGGTTCGTGGGTTCGAGCCCCGCGTCGGGCTCTGTGCTGACTGCCAGCTCGGAGCCTGGAGCCTCTTTCAGAGTCTGTGACTCCCTCTCTCTCTGACCCTCCCCTGCTCACGCTGTCTCTCTCTCTCTCCTAGAAATAAATAAAACATTAAAAAAAAAAAGAAAATAACAAGATAAGATGAAATGAAACAAGACAAAAACCAAGATAAAATGAGGCGAGACGGACAAGGGAACAGAACGGGGCAGAACAGAGTCGGCCGGGCGAGCCCGAGTCGGACGCACCGCACGCCCGCCGCTCCAACACGGGTTCTTCCTCCTCACGCGTTTCCGTCCACAGTTTGTAGTTTTCACTCAGAAGGGAAACTACAAATGTACAGTGACAAACTGGCGCATTTGTGCAACAGCCGCGGGCACCTTCCCGGGGCCCCTGGGGTCCCCAAAGTGCGCCCGGCGCGCACCTGTCTCCCTGCGGCGGGTCCCGCACGGATCCCGTTACCCGCGCGCGGCAGCCACTGTGGAGCGCAAAGCCGGGCGCGGGGCGGCGGGCGGCTCCCCGAACGTGGCCCTCGGGGTCGGGGGGCTGCGGGGTGTGGATGGGGCCGTGGGCCTTCGTGCCAGGGCTCGCGCGGCGGGGCGGAGGGTCCCCAGAGAAGTAGGTGTGTCCGACCCCGGGGTCAGAGGGGACCCCTTTCATCACATCGTGCAAGGGGGGCGCTCACCTGTCCCAGCAGCTGCCTCGAAGCCCTCCTTCTGGTGTCTACACTGGCTGTCTACACTGCATCACCACACCCACAGGCTTTGCAGCCTGGACTCGGCAGGGTCCTCGCTGCCCTAGGAGCCTGCATGAACCCCACCCCGAGCCCAATTCGGGAGGGTGTCCGGACCGCCCCCGGCCCCCCTGCGAGGGGCCCTTTGGACCCCGCCCACCGAACAGCCCCCGAGTTGCATTCGCGCTGTGACACCGAGTGGCCACCCGTGGAACGTGGCCCAGCCGAGCGACGGCACGGGACGCGGTTATGACGCACAGCAGGGAGGCTGCGTCCTCAGGGACCGCGCGGTTTCGCAAGGGGATGCCCGGCAGACACGGCCCGTGCGCGCCCTTCTCCGTGGCCGGAGACCTGCAGACACGCGGCCGAGTCGTGGGCACACAGGACGCACAGTGTGAGGCTTCGGATGATCTTGCGGGACGTCCTGGACACGCGCCCAGAGCTTTCGGCCCGAAACAAGGATGGGGACGTCCTGGTCTGCGCGTGGTGGCTCTCCGGGCGCAGAGGATGCGGAAGACGCAGCGCGCAGCTAGCAGGGTGCCCGTGCGCACCCACGCAGGCCCAGGACGCAGGGAGCAGGGTGCCCGTGTGCACCCACCCAGACGCAGAGCGCAGTGAGCAGGGTGCCCGTGTGCACCCACGCAGGCCCAGGGCGCAGTGAGCAGGGTGCCCGTGTGCACCCACGCAGGCCCAGGGCGCAGTGAGCAGGGTGCCCGTGTGCACCCACCCAGACCCAGGGCGCACTGAGCAGGGTGCCCGTGTGCACTCACGCAGACCCAGGGCGCAGTTATCAGGGTGCCCGTGTGCACCCACGCAGACCCAGGCCACGGACACGCCGGCCCCGATGGCGTGGCACACAGCCGGACCCGTCAGAAGTCTCTACGGAAAAAAACAGGTATTTCGTAAGAGGCGATGTTGTCTGATAAGCAAGGCTTTTCTTGAAAAACCTCCCTGTTTTGGGTCAAGGCCAGAACCCCAGCGTCAGCATCTTTTGGAAGATTTCCCAGCACCCGCACACAGGACTGTGTCCTCCAGGCGCAGGAAGCGCTTGCTCATTATCACGCCGACAGCGGTCACCGGGACCCCACACCGGCTCCGGCCGCGCGAGGAGCCGCCCGGTCCCCGTGCCGTGGCCGATAAGCAGCGAGAATACGGGAAGGACTCGGCAGTGACCGGGTGAGGGCTCCTGAGCCAAAGACAGAAGCTTCTGCTGAAAAAGCCTGTCGGGCCGGAGCGGTGTGGACGCTCTTGACCCGGGAGACTCTGGTTTACTGCACGGGTTTAAGGAAAGGCCGTGGGGTCCAGCCCTGGCCTGTGCCGCTCGCCAGCGCGGTCTCCTCTGTGCCTCAGTGGGTTGGGGGTCCCACGGGCTGGCCAGGCTCTGCCTCCGGGGACTGGGGGCTGGGATCTGCGGCCAGAGTGCGGGGCAAGGGGTGAGTGATTATGCTCGAAGGGAGACTAAGGAAGAGTTTTGTTATTTTAGGACTATCCTGGGGCGGCCGTGACAAATGACCACAAACTCGGGGCTTCCAACCACAGGCGCATCACCCCCCAGCTCTGGAGATCGGACGTCTGAGATCCAGGAAGACCCCTGAGACCCGGGGGGCAGGACCCCTGAGACCCAGGGGGGGCAGGACCCCTGAGATCAAGGCGGGGCAGGGCTGTGCTCCCTCCTGAGGCCCCAGGGGAGGGTCCTTCCCGCCTCTCCCAGCTCCTGGGGCCCCAGGGTCCCCGGGCTCGTGGCCGCGTCCCCCCGTCTCTGCCTCCGTCTTCACGTGGCTTCTCCTCTGCGTCTGCATCTCCTCCTCTGTCTCTTACAAGGACACCTGTCATTTCCAAATCAGGTCCCCTCTTCAGGCTCCAAGGGACATAAATTTTGGGGAGCACCCTTCACCCCAGCCCGGTTACTGGAGGTGTCTGTTCTCCCTGGGAAACTCAAAATTTCGGAAAGGCTGTGGGCCTCCCAGATAGAGCGCGCTGGCCCCGAGCGAACGTCCGCGTCCCCAGAGGCCGCACCCCGAGGCGTGTCCGGGAGAAAGGGTGCCCGGCGAGCCTCTGCACACCGCGGGCGGCCAGCCTCGGGGACGCGGGCAAGCTGGTCCCCGAGCAGCCGGCTGGGAATCTTCGAGCCAGGAGCGTCCTGCCCTTCGGGCTCAGGGCAGAGCCTTTCGGGCGGTGCTATTTTTAGCTGGGCAAGTTCACCAGGGAAGCCCCTGTTCTCCCGGGAATCCCACACATAAGGCCTGGGGTCACGGGGCGACCCTCAGACCAGAAAGTGACCCTGAGGCACCTGGGGCCAGTGTGAAAATATTACTATACGTTAGTGCACGGTTCGTTAATGTTAATAAAGTGTTGATAGCATAGAACGCTGATGTGTGTATAATAATAAACATGATGTCTCTCTAATAATAAACTTACCTAATACATGCGTATAATACATTCATGTGCGTCTTGTAAGTTATTGTAACAATGTACTTACTGTATCACGTACACATTGTATAGAATACATGATAACATAGTGCAAGGCTCTAATTCAGGGGTCTGTTGTGCAGGGGCCGTGTGCACAGGGGACACCCAGCTGGGCTCATGGAGAAGGTCTATTCTGGGCTGGAGGGTGCAGGGCGGTGTGCACAGGGGTGGAGGCAGCAGGGGCCGTGTGCACAGGGCTGGAGGCTGCAGGGCCGTGTGCACAGGGCACCTGGCCGAGTGGCGAAGGTCTATTCTGGGTCTCCCGCAGGGCCAGCTGTGACCGCTGCCTCACCCACTTCCGTTCTCCGTTCCGCCCTGTGGCCCTCGGCCGCCGCGCGCTGCACACGGTCCTCGGGGGGGCTCCTGAGAGCCCCCACCTCACGCCCCGCCCCTGGGGGCGGTGGGGGGAGGGGAGACACGGGCCGAATGGGAGGGGCCGCCGGCCGCACAGGTGGGGGGGGTCAGGTCCCTGCTTGTGCCCACACCTCCCTGGTCACCGGGACTGCTCCCAACTCAGTGCCCGCCCCACCTGGCCAGTCCCCCCCCGTCGGCCGTGGGCCCCAGAGCCCTGTGCTCTGAGCATCCATCAGACTCCTACTGTATACGTAGGGAACAGCCTCCAGTCTTAACATGTGGGTCCCCCCCCCCACACCCTCCCAGAGGAGGGAGGACGGGGAGGCCGGCTCCGTCCCTTCCTGGGGGCGCAGCGTCCGTCTCCCAGCCCCCAGCTGAGCGGCTGCTCAGCTCCCTGGACACGTGCTCACGGCGGCCGGGGGCCTAGGTCTCCCCTGGGGCAGCTGGAGCCCGACCTGGGGCTTCAGTCTTTTCTTTCCCAGATCTGGACACTGAACTCTAAGATCCAGGGGGCGGGGCCGCTGAGAAGGGGCGGGGCCACTGAGATCCAGGCGGGGCGGGGCCCCGGAGATGGGGCGGGGCCGCTGGGGTGGGGGCGGGGCCACGGAGATCCAGGCGGGGCGGGGCCCCGGAGATGGGGCGGGGCCCCTGAGGTGGGGGCGGGGCCACGGAGATCCAGGCGGGGCGGGGCCCCGGAGATGGGGCGGGGCCACGGAGATCCAGGCGGGGCAGGACTCCGGAGATGGGGGCGGGGCCGCTGAGATCCAGGCGGGGCGGGGCCCCGGAGATGGGGGCGGGGCCGCTGACATGGGGGCGGGACCAGTGAGATCCAGGGAGGATGGGGCCGCTGGGATGTGGGCGGGGCCGCTGAGATCCGTCTTCACGTGGCTTCTCCTCTGCGTCTGCGTCTCCTCCTCCGTCTCTTACAAGGACACCGTCATTGGATTCAGGACCCCCTCGTCCGGGATGCGCTCATCTCAGATCTTTCACTTACCTGCAGGTGTATCAGACTGAGGGTTTTCTAATGTTTATTTATTTCTGAGACAGAGAGAGACAGAGCGTGCGCAGAGGAGGGGCAGAGAGACAGGGAGACACAGAATCCGAAGCAGCTCCAGGCATCTCCCTGGTGTCCTGTCTCCATCTTTTGCTTTTAAGGCTCATGCAACTCCATTGGACCGTCGTGCATATGCAGGGAGAATCTGCTCACTTTCAAGTCGGCTGGCTAGTAATTTTAATTGCATTTGCCAAGTCCCTTCCCAAGAATTCCTAGATTCACATTGGACTCAATAATCACGGGGAGAAGAATCTTGGAGGGCACCTTTAGAATTCTGCTGACTACATCCCCCTATACGAATGACTGTTGAGGTTCGTTGAACTATCTTTGAAAATTTTTAATGTTTTATTTATTTCTTTTCTTGAGAGACAGACAGCGCGAGCAGGGGAGGGCCAGAGAGAGAGGGAGTCACAGACTCCAAAACAGGCTCCAGGCTCTGAGCTGGCAGTCAGCACAGGGCCCGACGCGGGGCTCGAACCCACAAACCGCGAGATCATGACCTGAGCGAAAGTCGGACGCTTAACCGACTAAGCCACCCAGGCGCCCCATGTTTTATTTATTTCTGAGAGAGAGCGAGCACGAGCAGGGAAGGGGCAGAGAGAGAGGGAGACACAGAATCAGAAGCAGCTCCAGGCTCCGAGCTGTCAGCACAGAGCCCGACGCGGGGCTCGAACCCACGAACCGTGAGACCACGACCTGAGCCGAAGTCGGATGCGCAACAGGCACCCCTAAATCACACTGACCTCTGATCACACCTCCCTTATCCCAGCGTCATGAGCCTCGAGAAGTTGGTGTGTGGTCCGGGCGGTGAAGGGGGCCAGTCCAGGAGCAGCTGGGCCCGGACAGGGACGTAACCAGGGCCCTGGGGCCCCTAAGCTGGGACTGAGTCACAGAGCACGTAGGGCACGAGGGACGTGTCCACTGGGACCGGGAGCGCAGCTGGGCAGGCCATCCGCCCACATTCATGCCCACGGCTCCTAATCACCGCTGCCAGGAACTTGGCAGACCCTCCTGGAAGCTCGGGTAATTAGCGCTGTAACAAAGAGGAACAGGAAAAGAACAGTTTTAAAAGAAAGAGGGGGTGATTCCCAGGAAAGTACGGAACGGGTGACCCTGGGTTTGAGGCAGACACAGACACTCAGGGAGCAGCAGACGCCGGAGGGGGCCGTCGGGCAGCCTCAGACCACCGACCACGCCCACCCACCCAGGGCCTGGCGCTCAGGGTGGGGCCCCTTCTGGGGACTATAAAAGCGCACAGAAGCCCAGTGCCAGCTTTGAGCTTTGGTTTCTGTTTGGGACACTTCCTCCGAGCGGTGAGGAGTGAGGAGCCCGCGGTCCAGGCGCCCCCTACCCTGCACCCTGACCTGGGACTTTCTCTGTATCCCAGGGGAGCGCCGGCCAGGATGAGGGACCGGAGGAAGGCGGCGGATCTGCGGCAGCAGGTAAGGATGCAACAGGCTGTCACGCACACTGGTGGCCACGGGGGTCGGTCCCCACGTCCAGTGCGGCCCACCGGGGAGGGACGGGGGCTCAGATCACAGGTTCAAGGCTGTGTCACCGGGCGGGCCTCCACACGCCTGGAGGGGTTGTTCACACGCCTCTGTCACGGGACAGAAAAATGAGGACTGATGTGTGCGATCCGTTTACTAAATGTGCACAACAGGGGCGCCCGGGTGGCTCAGTCAGTTAAGCGTCCACCTGACTTCGGCTCAGACCATGATCTTGCAGGTTCGAGCCCCGCGTCGGGCTCAGTGCTGACGGCTCAGAACCTGGAGCTGCTTCGGATTCTGTGTCTCCCTCTCTCTCTGACCGTCCCCCGCTCACACTGTCTCTCTCTGAAAAATAAACATTAAACTAAGAAGCAGAAGAAAACAGAATTTAGAAATATGCACAGCAGGAAGAATTTAGACACACGGACCGGGTTAGCCGACCGACTCTGGGGACGGAAAGGTGACTCAGAGACTGTGGAGATGGAGTCTCCTTCTGGGGGCATGGAACATTCCGGAGCCACACAGATGTGGTGAATGTGCCCGTTGGCCCCCCGAGTTGCATTTTAAAAGGGTGAATTTGGCGTGATGCGAATTCACCTGCATAAAAATATGAATTAATAGGTACATTTTAAAGATCACGATTCCTGCGCGTCACCTGTTGTCTCTGAGGTCCGTGGGCCACGATGCCCGGTGGTGGGGACGCCCAGAACCGTGTCTGGGGAGCCCCCGGCCCCGCACTGGGGTGCTCAGCGTTGGCCCCTCCTGTGGTTGGGCCGCGGGCCCCATCCTGTCTGATGTGCGCAGCCCGGATGCCCCCGCTGCCCCCCCGTCCACTGACCTTTTGTGAATGTCGCCTCAAAGTCTGGTTCTTGGTGAATCCGATTCCGTGGGCACCTGCTGCACATTGAGCCTGATGCCTCCCCGTCTTCAGCCTAATCCCTGTATTACAAAGCCACGACAATCCCTGTATTACTAACCCAAAGGCAATTGCGGATCCTGCCGTTCCCTTCTCCTGGGAGGCGGTTTCTCGGGTGTTGAGACGAGAACACTCCGAGAAGAGTCTAAGGGGAGAAGGTGACAGCCCCTGGTGGGCTCCCTGTTGGGTCCGGTGACTGGGACTTTGAATGCCCAGCACGTCGATCCGGCACAGATGTCCCAGATCTCGTGACCTGATGCGGGCGATTCTGGGGGGCACGGAGAGGTGGCCCCCAGGGCATGAGTGACGGGTCAGAGGGAGGGGGGGGTCTGTGGGTGCTCAGTCCCTGGGGTCCGGAGGGCGCAGGAGGCCAGCCACCCCGGTGAGGGTCCCGGGGGGCCGGGGGTTCCTGGGGACAGAAGTCCAGCTGGGCGTTGGGGCCGTGCGGCCTGCAGTGACCGTCAGTGCGGCGGAGCAGGAAGCTGGGTCGTGTTGACTTCACCTTGTTAATGACACTTCCTTCCCCGGCTCTGCGCTCTGCGCTCCGGGCGCCGTTTTCTCGGTTCCCGGACGCGCCAGGCCCCAGGACCGCAGCCTGGAGGCCTGTTGCCGGCGGCGACCCGCACCCCGGCCCGGAGCCCCCCGCCCCCTGTCCTGGGAGCCGCGCCCCCCGCGTCCACCCTCCCCGGGGTCGCGCCGCCGTCGCGCGCGCTCAGTGTCGCCTCCCTTCCAGGGCGCGGGGAGCCGGATCGCCATGCGCGTCGTGTGGCTGGCGCTGTGTCTGACGCCCGTGTCCCGTGTGCTGCCCGCCGAGCAAGGTAGGTCGGTCTCTGCTTATCGGCCGGTCTGTGTCCCCAACACGCCTCTTCCTAGAAGCCCTCCAGCCCCAGAGCCTGCGAACCTGTGTTTGGAGACGGGGGTCTTTCCAGATGTCATGGGCTTCGGGCAAGGCCATCGGGGTGGGGTCCTGACCCAACAGGGCCTGGGGTCCTGGGGACAAGGGGACACGTGGACACAGCCATGGCCCCAGCGAGAAGGCCTCTTGGGGCAGAGTGGGGTCACCTTCCCTCCTTGGGGCTCCGTCCTGACGATGCTGAATCAGGACACTGTTCCGAAGGAGAATATGAGACTCGGTTCTGGCGGACCCGCAGGGGTGTCTATAGGCAAACGGGGCCCCGTCCGGAGTTTTCCGGATACAGAGCAGACCCGAGGGAGGGGTGAGTTGTGTGCTCTCCCAGGGCGGGCAGAGTGGGTGGGTCACCTTCTGCAGGGACCCCGAGCGTCCCCACCTGTGTCCACGGCTCTTGCATCACGCGGGCGACGAGAGCTGCCGAGACACCACAGGATTTCATCAGCCGTTAGACGTTATTCCTTCCTCAAATAGGAGTGACCTTCACATGTGCTGTGGGGGAGGGACAGGGAGGGATTTGTCCCCTGAGGCTGCGAGGGCGGCCAGGACGAAATACCATGGCCTGGGAACTTTATTTTTTTTTTAATTTTTTTAAAATGTTTTATTTATTTCTAGGAGAGAGAGAGAGAGAGACAGCGTGAGCAGGGGAGGGTCAGAGAGAGAGGGAGTCACAGACTGAAACAGGCTCCAGGCTCCGAGCTGGCAGTCAGCACAGAGCCCGACGCGGGGCTCGAACCCACGAACCGCGAGATCATGACCTGAGCGAAAGTCGGACGCTTAACCGACTAAGCCACCCAGGCGCCCCGGCCTGGGAACTTTAAATACAGACATTTATTTCTCAACAGTTCTGGGGAACAGAGTCTGAGATCCGGGGGGCGCAGGAGTGTTCCCTCTTAATAAGGACACCAGTCACTTTGTATTAGGGTCCACACGACTCAAGGATGACCCCATGTTAATTAGTCACGGTGCCATGACCCTGGTTCCAAATAAAGGTGTCATCGTGAGGCCCTGGGAGTTCGGACTCCAGCGTGAATTTCAGGGGGACACAGTGGGACTCACCCCAGGTGCTTCTGCCCCCCCACCCCCCCATATTTATTCAACGGCCCGGGTCCTTCATCTCCTTGGGGGAGTTTGCAGACGGCACCAGACAGGAGCTTTCGGGGGTGAGGACTGGGCGCGGGGAAGGGGCTTCATCTGTTTCCCGGCTGCCACCCAGGTCTCAGCATCATCTGGGCTCCCGTCCCGTGCGTGCCCGTGAGCGGCCCGCCGTGTCCGGGTGCAGAGGCTGCTGCAGGCTGTGTGGTCACTCGGCCTGTGGGTGTATTCTAGGACCGCTGACCACAGGTAGGAAGTGGTGCTTTCTAGGAATCCAAGGCCGCAGGAAGCTGCAAACGCAATCTAACATGTTTACAAGTTCCCTCCCGAGCCGCAGGCCTCCTGAAGCTTCAGCTTGGGCCACAGTGTGCGAGAGGGGCCTGGGGTACCACGCACGGTGGAAGAGAAGTGTGGAAACCAGACGCCTTGCCTCGTCCTAGCCTTGAGGAGAAGTGGGTAGTCTGTCACCATCGAGTCTGAATTAGCTCAAAGATTTTCATAGGTTTATCAGAGTAAGGAGATTTTCGTCCATTGCTAGTTTGCTTAGACTTCTTCGACCCAAATGCGTGTTAAATCCAGTCCTTCCCCCTCCCCAACTTCTATGGAGATCATTCGTTTTCTGTAAATGGGGTGAATTCTATTCATGGTTAAAACAGCCTTGTATCGGGGCGCCTGGGTGGCTTAGTCGGTTAAGCGTCCGACTTTCGCTCAGGTCATGATCTCGCGGTTCGTGGGTTCGAGCCCCGCGTCGGGCTCTGTGCTGACTGCCAGCTCGGAGCCTGGAGCCTGTTTCAGTCTGTGACTCCCTCTCTCTCTGACCCTCCCCTGCTCACGCTGTCTCTCTCTCTCCCCTAGAAATAAATAAAACATTAAAAAAAAAAAACAACAACATTGTATTCCTCAGTAAGTCTCTTGGGTCATGAGTATTACCAGGTTTATGTGTTCCTGGGTTTTATTGACTAATATTTTTGAAGGTATTTTTTATATTTATAAGGGGTACTGGCCTTGAGATTAGATTTAGTTTTTAATTTTATTTTTGTTAATTTTTAGGTTTATTTAGAGAGAGATAAAGACAGATCAGGGGAGGGGAAGAAACAGAGGAAGAGAGAGAATCCCAAGCAGGCTCCACACTCAGCACAGAGCCTGATGCAGGGCTTGAACTCACAAACTATGAGACCATGACCTGAGCTGAATTCAAGAGTCAGACGCTTAACAGCCTGAGCCACCCAGACGCCCTGAGGTTTTTTATTTTTTTTAATTATTAAGGAATAAAGGATCCTTATACGTTAGGAGAAAACAGTGCCACAGACCAAGGTGTTTGTTTGGTTGGGTTTTGCTGATGAAACGGAGGTCGTTGATCTTGATAAGTAATCATCACACTCACAGTCTGTAAATCAGATGAACGTTGATGAAAGTCATGCCTGTAAGTCGTCTACGACCCCAGATAAACCCTCGCCAAGCATCTGACCGATTTCTGTAGCTTTGAGTTATTGGAAAAAGTGTGCCGAGTGCCGCCTCGTGCAAGCGTTTGAAGAAATGTGCTGAACCCTGAGGTCGGCTGCTACAGACCCTTTTCTTTTGTAAAAAAAATTTTTTTTAATGTTTATTTTTGAGAAAGAGGGAGACAGAGCGTGATCAGGGGAGGGTCAGAGAGAGAGGGAGACACAGAATCCGACGCAGGCTCACGCGGGGAACACGGCTGTTGATTCGAGCCGCCCGCAGCCCCGAGCGCCTCGTTCCCCGTGTAGATTTCTGCTTCCGGACGACGCTTCAGGACCCGCCGGGAGATGGAGGCGCCGGTGGAGACAGAGGTTCAGGCATCAGCGGGATCTGTTCTCACTCCTACCTTATGTAAACATTTCAGATGCCGATTTGCCTATTAAGAACCTAAGGATGGAGCCGGAGACGAGAAGGCTGACCTGGGACCTGAATGGAAATGTTTCTGAAATTAAGTGCTTCATTAACTCACAGGAGATCACGCAGGTAAATCTTCTTCCCCGTCCTTGGCACACGAGGCGAGTCACTCAGGGGCCTAAGAGCCCGTGTCCGGCATCACAGAGGTGGGGGCACGACTCCGGCCGGCTGCGGGATGCGGGGCCACTGCCAGGCCCACGGCTCAGGGTTCCTCAGCCGCACGATGCGCAACAAGGGGGCCGTGGCCAGTGTTGGTGACAAAATGCAGGCGGAGAGTCGAGCCTCGGGGAGAGTGAGAGTTCTGTTCTGACCCATCCCCCGCCTCTCACCCAAATCCTACGGTGTGTCAAACAGCAGAGTTTTATTCCCTTCAAGTCTTGGACGCTGGGGGTGGGATATCCAGGCAGGGCTGAGGCTGGGAGTCTGAGGTCCAGGCAGGGCTGAGGCTGGGAGTCTGAGATCCAGGCAGGGCTGAGGCTGGGAGTCTGAGGTCCAGGCAGGGGTGAGGTTGGGAGTCTGAGGTCCAGGCAGGCCGAGGCCGGGGATGGGAGATACAGTCAGGGCCGAGGCCGGGGGTCTGAGGTCCAGGCAGGGCCGAGGCCAGGGGTCTGAGGTCCAGGCAGGGCCGAGGCTGGGAGTCTGAGATCCAGGCAGGGATGAGGTTGGGAGTCTGAGGTCCAGGCAGGGCCGAGGCTGGGAGTCTGAGGTCCAGGCAGGGGTGAGGTTGGGAGTTGAGGTCCAGGCAGGGCCGAGGCTGGGGGTGGGAGATCCAGTCAGGGCCGAGGCTTGGGGTCTGAGGTCCAGGTTGGGGCTGAGGGTGGGAGTCTGAGGTCCAGGCAGGGTGAGGCTGGACTCTGAGGTCCCGGCAGGGGTGAGGCTGGACTCTGAGGTCCCGGCAGGGGTGAGGCTGGGGGTCTGAGGTCCAGGTTGGTGCTGAAGCTGAGAGTCTGAGGTCCAGGCAGGGCCGAGGCCGGGGGTCTGAGGTCCAGGCAGGGTGAGGCTGGGAGTCTGAGGCCCAGGCAGGGGTGAGGCTGGGGGGTCTGAAATCCAGGCAGGGCTGAGGTGGGAGTCTGCGGTCCAAGCAGGGCTGAGGCTGGTTCCTCCGGACGCCTGTCTCCGTGGCGTGTGGACCCCGTGTTCTCCCTGTGTCCTCATGTGCTGTCCGTGTGTACATGGGGGTCCTCATCGCCTCTTGTTCTAAGCACCCCCCACCCTACTGACCTCATGTTACCTTAATCCCTTCTGCAAACACCCCACCTGCTTTCTGAGGTCCTGGGGATGAGGGTTTCATATATGAAATTTGACGGGACACAACCCCGTTCATGAGAAGTCTCAGTGGGGTGTCCTCGGAGCTTGGCCGGGTGACTCGAAATTCTGTGATTGAGAAGAACCAAGAAATGTGGATAAACACCAGGGGTCAGAATGGGGCACTCGGGGGGCTCAGTCGGTTGGGCGTCCGACTTCGGCTCAGGTCAGGATCTCACGGTTCGTGGGTTCGAGCCCCGTGTCGGGCTCTGTGCTGACGGCTCGGAGCCTGGAGCTGCTTTGGATTTTGTCTCCCTCCGTCTCCGCCCCTCCCCTGCTCATGCTCTGTCTCTGTCTCCAAAACAAATACACGTTAAAAAAATTTAAAAAATAATAATATTAACAGAAAAACCCAACCTTCTGCCTATTAACCCATTCAGGGGGCTTCACGCTGTGGTCTATTTGTATGAATTTATTACATAATGTAAGTACGAAGGTGGAATCCATCACGATGTCAATAAATATTTTACTTTCCTTTCTGTTCCATACGAGTTTCCATTTTTATTTCCTCATTTTGCTTTCTTTTCTCATTCGATCCTTGGAAGAGGGTCAGCTGCTTGCGTTTATCCGTCAATGTAATTATCTTATCGAAAGTTTTGTGCATTTTTAAAAATTTCATACACTTCATGTTTTGCTTTTTTTATTTTTATTTTTTGACGTTTATTTATTTTTGAGAGACAGCGACGGAGCGTAAGCAGGGGAGGGGCAGAGAGAGAGGGAGACACAGAATCCGAAGCAGCTCCAGGCTCCGAGCTGTCAGCACAGAGCCCGACGGGGGGCTCGAACCCACGAACCGTGAGATCATGGTCTGAGCCGAAGTCGGACGCTTAAGCTACGGAGCCCCCCAGACACCCCAAAACTTCATATTGAGGGGAAGCCGTAGAGATTTCCAATGCAGCCCCCTCCCCTACGCACGCACGGCCTCCCCGATTACCCGAAGCCACCGGATAGCTCGGACACGTCATTGTCACCCAGAATCCACAGTCTGCCGCGGGGCTCGCTCTTGATGCCTTGAACTTGGAGACTTCAGGGTCAAGTACAAGGACACGCATCTTCCGGAACAAATCCCGCGATGGCCCTGCTGACCTCTCCCTCCCTGTCCACCAACCTCTGATCGATCTGATCGATCGATAGGGTCACCAATAGGCACCCAACACGTTTCTGGGATGTTGGCGCAGGTTGCACGGAAGCTGTAGATAAGACGACAGGGAGCTCTTTGTTGCGTCTGTTGCTGACTGTGACACTCCGGGGCGAGACGACGCTGCCGCTAAGTCACACTCTGTCCCCCAGGCCGTCAACCGGAGCTTCTGTGAGTTCTATGTGCTCCCCTTGTGTGCAGTGAGCAACTTCACGGTCGCCTCCAGCCAGGCTCCGGCCTTCTCGGTGTGGACGCGCTACCCCCCGCCAGGTGAGGGGCCAGGCCGTGCACGGGCCTGCTGGCTTCCAGGGAGGGCGAGAAAAGAACACGACCCCGGGGTCGGGGTCGAGGATGGGGTCACGTCTGCGGTCGGGGGTCGTTCCCACCCTCGGTCTGACGAAGTGTGGAAATGCAGGCCGCTGAGCGGCGGGCAGGGGTGAGGGCAGGAGGGGAGGAAGAGGGGAGCCCATCAAAGCACCATGTGGGGGTGGGTCCTTGGGGGATGAGGCCGTCGTGTCCTGAGCCGGATGCCCTGGAGACACCCCGTTTCAGAGGCGGCACAGCTGTTTCTAAGAGGCGCGACCGCGGGGGGAAACCGAGGCACGCCTGCACGGGACGCCCGGGTTTCTTGCTACGACTAGGGTGACCTCCCGCGCGACCCTGACATCCGCACGCGCGTCCTAAAGGGGGTTTGCTTCCCTTCCCCCGTCTGCAGCGGAGGGAAACCCGGAGGCGGCGGCACAGCGTCTGGGCTGCTGGGTGCACGGCGTGGACTTCCTGACGTGCAGCTGGGAGGCGGGCAGGGCGGCCCCCCGCGACCTGCAGTATCACCTGTACGTGCAGGACCTCAGGTGGGTGTGGCCGTCCGGGCGCGGGGTCCGCGGGTCATTGCCGGGTGTCCCCTAGTGTCCTGGGGGGGCGGGGTCACTGCCGGGTGTCCCCTCCTGTCCCGGGTGTGGGGGCGGGGTCACTGCCGGGTGTCCCCTCCTGTCCCGGGTGTGGGGGCGGGGTCACTGCCGGGTGTCCCCTCCTGTCCTGGGCACGGGGGTCCGCGGGGTCATTGCCGGGTGTCCCCCACTGGCTGCAGCACCTACGAGATGCAGGAGTGTCCGCGGTACGAGGTGGACGTTCGGGGCACCCGCGTGCGCTGTCACTTCGCCGGCGTGTCCAGGCTGGGGGGACACATCCAGGTGCTGGTGAACGGCTCCAGCCGGGGCGCCAGCATCCCCTGCTCGGAGCGGACTGTGGAGCTCGCAGACGTCGGTGAGTCCTGCGGGGACACGGCTCCTGGCGGTCACTCGGGGACGCGTGGCGGTGCGGACCCTGCCCCCGGCTCTCGGCCGGCCGCCTTCTCGCTCTGACGCCCCCTCCTCACGGGGCCTCAGCTGCGTGACCTCCGTAACCGCCGTCACCTCCCTGGGGCCCCCCTCCCACGCCTTCACGGCGGGGGGACACACCTGAGGGCCCGTGGCTGCGCCCCGACTCTGGGGGCTCAGTGTCGTGCTCACCTGTCCACGCCATGCCTTCCCGGCTTTGGGAACACGGACCCCATGTCTGCACAGCTGCCCCCGCTGCGTGCCCCTAACCTGGACCCCTCCCCAAACTGAGCCGGCCTCCAGCCCCCCAGGAGCCGGGCCCCCCACCCGGCGCGGTCCACGCGGGGTCAGGAAGCAGCGACCCGCGGAGGGACCTGAGAGGCGGCTCCCAGGGGAGGGGGCTCGGCCGCTCACGGGGAAAGCAGGGCCTTCCTCTGTCTGCGGACCCCTCCTGGGGGGCCCAGACGCGCCGTGTCCACACACGCAGCCCTCCGGGCTCCGAGCCCCCCTGCACCTCCACGCTCACCCCACCCCCACCCAGCTGGGTGCACCCCCGGCTGCCAGCACAGGAGGGCCGTGCGGTGATGCAGCCTGTGCGCCGGTGGGGACGCCCGGGGCTGTCACCTGGGGTCACACAGGGACCCCACTGACATCCGCAGATGCCTCTAGTCCTGCACGGCTGGACACTGGGAATGGCACCTTCCGGGGGAGTAGGGTCTCCGCACGCAATACAGCAGCCCCAGTGCAATCCAATATGGGGGTGCCCCCCTCACAGGGGACGGGACACAGGCCAGGCCAGGGCACAGGACAAGGCCGTGGGTGGACGAAGGCACAGAGAGAGGCGTCCCCGGGGTGGGAAGGGGGCCTGGGACAGACTCTCCCTCTGCGCCTCCACGAGGAACCGGTCCTCTGACTTCAGATTTCTGGCCTCCAGACCTGGGAGAGGGCGCATTTCTTTTTTTTTTTTTAATGTTTTTTTTAAAATTTTATTTCCAGAAGAGAGAGAGAGAGACAGCGTGAGCAGGGGAGGGTCAGAGAGAGAGGGAGTCACAGACTGAAACAGGCTCCAGGCTCCGAGCCGGCAGTCAGCACAGAGCCCGACGCGGGGCTCGAACCCACGAACCGCGAGATCATGACCGGAGCTGAAGTCGGACGCTTAACCGCCTGAGCCGCCCAGGCGCCCCGAGAGGACGCATTTCTAAGGCTCGGGCCCCCACGCTGCGTTGCCGTGGCGGCCGTGGAAATTCACACGAGAACATTCTTTGCAATTTCAAGAGGGCGCCAGGAGAGCAAGGACCCAAGCCCAGGGCCTGGGCACGGACGTGTCTGCGCATGGACGGGCCGGGTCCTGTTGGACGGTCACAGACGATGCCGTTGACATCAGGGAATCGGGCCCGGGGGGTATGAGTTCCCAGTGGAGGCCGTAACACAGGATCCCAAACCATGAGCCTCAGAGCATCACAATTTATCCTCCAGTCCTGCAGACCAGTCTTAGATCCGGGGGGGCGGGGCCGCTGGGATGGGGCGGGGCCGCTGACATCCAGGGGGCGGGGCCACTTAGATCCAGAAGGGGCAGGACCACTGAGATAGGGGGCGGGGCCGCTGAGATCTGGGGGCAGGACTACTGAGATGGGGGCGGGGCCGCTGAGTTGGGGGCGGGGCCGCTGAGATGGGGTTGAGGCCGCTGAGTTGGGGGCAGGGCCGCTGAGATCTGGGGGCAGGACAACTGAGATGGGGTGGGGCCTCTGATATCCAGGGGCGGGGCCACTGAGATGGGGTGGGGCCACTGAGATACAGGGGGCGTGGCCGCTGAGATGGGGGCGGGGCCACTGAGATACAGGGGGCGGGGCCGCTGAGGTCCAGGGGGCGGGGCCGCTGAGATGGGGCGGGGCCGCTGAGGTGCCGGGGGCGGGGCCGAGCTCCCTCCTGAGGCCCCAGGGGAGGGTCCTTCCCGCCTCTCCCAGCTCCTGGGGCCCCAGGGTCCCCGGGCTCGTGGCCGCGTCTCCCCGTCTCTGCCTCCGTCTTCACGTGGCTGCTCTTCTGTGTCTGTGTCTCCTCCTCCGTCTCTTCCAAGGACACGTGTCGTTGGATTTAGGGCCCCCCTGATGCAGAAGGACATCATCCCAGAAACCTTATTACACCTGCAAAGGCCCAATTTTTTTTTTTTTTTTTTTTTGAGAGGGAGACAGGGCGCAAGCAGGGGAGAGGCAGAGAGAGGGAGGCACTAGATGCAAAGCAGCTGCAGGCTCCGAGCTGTCAGAGCGTCAGACAGAGTGTGACGTGGGACTCAGCCCACGAGCGGTGAGGTCATGACCTGAGTCAAAGTCGGACCAGATGCTTAACCGACCGGATCACCCAGGCGCCCCTGCCGAGCTCCGTGGAAGTGACTCCCATTTCGCCCCGGCCCTTCCCCGCCACGGGCCCGCACGTGAGCCCGCACGTGGCTGTTAGATGGTGAGCGGAGCCTTTGGGCGCTGAGCAGGTGCCACGTGACTGCTTGGCCTGAAGCTGCAGGGGCTTGTGGGTAACCCTGCTCTCTCCCCCCGGGCTTGATGGCGTCGACCAGGTGTGTTCAGGGCGTCTGAGGGTGTTTCCTCGCAGGGTGACCCCGCTGCCCTGTGGGAAGTACCTGCCTTCCCGGCCTCGCTTCCCGGCCTCCCCTCCCGGCCTCCTTCCCCAGCGCTGCCAATGGGCATGTCCTCCCAGGGCGGCTGCCTCTTGGGCCTCCTGGTCCTGAGGGGAGAAGGCCTCGCCTGGGGTCCCAGCAAGATGGCAAGAGATGGGCATGGCCCGGACGGCTGCAGGGGGGAGGGAGGGGAGCCGCCTTTGAGACCATTTCCCAGGACGGGATGGAGGACGGATTCTGTGGACGCGGCTGAGATAGCACAGGGCACGGAAGCAGGTTGGGTGCAGGGTGGTATCATAGATGGGGGAGGGGGGAGGGGGGAGGGGAAAAGAGAAGGCGATCAGGAGCTGGAGGCCACCCTGCACTGAGCTCCCTGCCCGGGCCCTGGGTGGACGGAAGAGCGGACAGGGGCGGACACAGGGGGGGCTCCCGTCGGAGGCCAGACCCCTGGAGCAGATCCAGACGTGCTCATGGAGGAAGCTGACCCAGCCTTGGGGTCCCAGGAAGCCGGCCCTCTGGGGGGAGGCCTGGAGGGGAGCCCTGGGGCAGCACCCCGAAGGGGGACGGGTCGGCCGCAGGGTCCCAGCAGCCACAAGGCAGGACTGAGGATGCAGAAGCAGCCGCTGCAGGAGGCGGGGCCGGGGAGGCCTGCAAAGCTGGCTCAGGCCGTGTGCGCCGCAGGGGCAGATGTTTCCGGAACGCAGCTGGCCGGCCAAGGTCACTGGAAAGGGCACCGACCCTGCACAGGGCGGGGAGGGTGTGGGGGGCCGGGGGCCCAGCACCGAGCTCAGCCGGGTCCCTGGGAAGGAGGGAGTCCTCGCGCAGGCTTTCTTCCCTCTGCCCGAGAGCAGTGGAATTGTGGCCCAAGGAAAAGCATTGGGTGACGTTCTAGAGACTTCGTCGCTGCACAGACCTCAAGAGTGCTTTCTAGAAGGATCTCGGGATGGGCGGGGGTCTCTCACAGTCTCGTGTCAGAGCAGCTGACCCTCACTCTAAGTCAGGCAGATATGCCAGCATATTGTGTCACACACCTATGTGGCCATCTTGCGCCTCCTTCAGCCTCGAAATGAACTTTCCTTTCCTCCCCTGCACCCGAATTTGTAAGAAGCCTGTTTGAAAAGTACCTTCTAGGGGAGGAAAAATGTTCATTTGTTTTACTCATAAAATTGTTGCTTTTTTTCTTCCCTAGAGAGATTAACTGTGCCCAACATCACTGGAACGTGTAATAAATCCTATTCGATCATGGAATGGAAAGTGTCAAGCCACTTCAATCACAGATTTACATACGAACTTGAAATACAAAAGGTAAACATTTGCCCCAGCTTGAAATTCTACATTCTCTGTACCCTGAGGATTTGGAGGCAGATGAAAACATACACACACAAAAATCTGAACCAAAAATCTTTTAAAAATAAATAAAATGTAAATAAAAAAGAAATAGGCAAAAATAAATTTTTAAATACATAAACGGAAGCTAACCCCTACATAAAAATGAAGAATGCTAACAAAAGTAAGGAAAAACTTAAAGATCATTTAAGCTTTTGTGTGTGTGTGAAAGTCATCAAAAAATACAGAAATGAACCAAAAAAATTTTTTTAGCGTTACCAAAAGTAACAATGTCAGCTGTTCAAAAGACAGAGGTAAAACCAAAAAGGCAGGTCGCACATGTGTCTTGTCCATCAAAGGATGCACGTTTAGGACGGATAAGGAACTCTTTAAGATCAACTCCAAGAAGATAAACAACCATATTTAAAAAACCAAAGGGCAAAAAAACCCCCAAAAAACCCAAAGGGCAAAAAGTCAAAACAGCCACTCCCCCAAAGAAGATGTATTCATTACCTATAAATACACGAAAAGCTACTAGAGAAATGTAAACTGCAGGGAGAGGCTGCTCCACACCCGTTAAATCAGCTAAAATGACAAAGTCTGGCCAAACCAAGTGTCAGTGAGGTTGTCACCCAGTGGACGGCAACACCTGTGTGTCACTAGCTGCTGGCCATTTCTGATGGTACGGCCTGTTTCAGGAAACCCCCACACGGCTCCTTTCTCTTTTGAGATGTTCCTCACGGATGAACATTCTCCCCATTGCAAGAGCCTGGATAAAATCTTATCCTTTATTTAAAAAACAGAGTGGCCCCTTTGGGGGAGGCTTCCCACGGCAGCAAACGTCCTGTGAGGTGTGGCTCCCAGAGGAGTGTAAACAGCACCCAGCAGAGTGGGGGCCCGAGTAGGGACAAACAAAATATATCCATGCTGTGGAATCCGACCCACAGGGAAGGTCAGCCAGCCGGACACAAGGTGCACCCTGGGGCACCCCATTTATACACAGAGGCGTAGAGAATGGTAGAGGGTCACAGGGAAACGTGAGGGAGACGGGGACATTCCTTGCCCGGAACGTTCTGATGGTTTCTCCTGCGCACGTCTGTCAAATCTCAGCAAAACCTGTACTTTCAGGGTGCGCTTTGCTGCAAGGAAACCGTGCCTGAATAAACGTTATCTTAAAAAATAACCAAGTAAGGAGGGCACGCACCTGGCTGGCTCGATCTGTGGAGACTGTGACTCTTGATCTCGGCGATCGTGAGTTCGAGCCCCACACTGGGTGTAGACATGATAAGTAAACAAATTGAAAAGAAAGTTTTCAGTCTGAAAATTAAAAGAAAATAAGCAAATGTTTGGATCTACTTGGTATTTCATACTCCATCATTTAGTTAAATTGATTATTTTTCTTGTTTGTATATTCTATTTACTGTTTCTATGTAACTAGTGATGATAGTTAACATTTCTACAAACGCACAAGTGGTCAAAAAGCCAAAGGTTATTGATTCTACTTTTCTCTTTAAGAAAGAGCAGGAATAGGGGAGCCTGTGCGGCTCAGTCTGTTAAGCGTCTGACTCTGGATTTTAGCTCAGGTCGTGATGTCACAGTTTGTGAGTTTGAGCCCCGAGTTAGGCTCCAGTGTAGACAGTGCGGAACGTGCTTGGGATTCTCTCTCTCTCCCTGTGTGACCTTCACTTGCTCATACTTTCTCTTTCAAAAAAAATAAATAAGTAGGAGCGTCTGGGTGGCTCAGTCGGTTAAGCATCTGCTTTGGCTCAGGTCATGATCTCACAGTGCATGGGTTCGAGCCCCGCGTCCGCTCTGTGCTGACAGCTCAGAGCCTGGAGCAGCTTCAGATTCTGTGTCTCCCCCTCTCTCTAACCCTCCACTGCTCACGCTGTCTCTCTCTTAAATATAAATAAAACATTAACAAAATTAAAAAAATAAATAAGTCAACATAAAAAACAACGACCAGGTACAGTATTTTTTTATTTTTTTTAAGTTTATTTATTTTGAGAGAGTGAAAGTGAGAGTGGGGGAGGGGCAGAGAACGAGGGAGACACACAATCCCAAGCAGGCTCCGCACTGTCAGCCCAGAGCCCAGACCGGACCCAAACCCACAAACTGTGAGATCACGACCTGAGCCGAAACTGAGAGTTGCTGCTTAACTGAGTGAGCCCCCCAGGCACCCCCAGACCAGGTATGTTTTACTTAGTGCCTCCTTTATGGCCACATTTACTTAATTATATTGACGATTTGCACCAAATCATTGGCTATTTTATGCTCAGCCCTATAACCCTCCAAGGGCTCACGGGGAGAAGGGCCCTCACCACTGGGCACCCACCGCTTGCTGCTTTTGTCTTGCAGGGCACAGACCCCCCCTACACAGAGAAGGTGAGTGTCCCCGAGGCCCCGCCCCCTGAGTCCAAGGTCACAAAGCCCCGCCCACCGCCCCACACCCTCCATCCCCTGCGGTCATGCGGAGGGCAGACCTCTAGAGAGGAGGGTCTTCTGTGGCTTCTCCTGTGTCTGTCTCGTCTTGTGTGTCTTACAAGGACCCCCGTCATTGGATTTTGGGTGGTGTCACGTCTCAGCCTTCACTTCCTCACATGTACCCTGTTTCCAAATCGGGTCCCATCCATAGGTTCTGGTGGGGGGGCCCCACACCTTTTGGGAGGGGGCATCTGCAGGGGTTGTGGGTGCTGCCTGGAGGCTGTTTACACGCCGGGGATTGGGAAGAACATCCCTGTCTGCACAGCCAGAGCCTGGGCTGACCGGGGAAAGGGGCTCTGGGCCGGGACCCTGTGAACAGCAGGCATCTGCCCTAATGGGGGGTGGTCAGGCTCCCTGTCTCTCTTTGGGGGGGGCGGGCGCTATAACAGGTACCACAGATGGGGCTTTGTGGGTCCTGGGCAGCAGCCTCAGATCCTGAGGGGGCCGGGCTGCAGGGACCCTGTGTTCTAGGCCGCCTGTCAGCTCCTCGGGGGGTCCTTGGAGTGTGGCCACATGCCCCCAATATCCACGTGGTTTTCCCCCACCCCCCGTGGGGGTGCCTGTTACCCAGTTCCCCTCCTGTGAGGTCACAGGTCCTAATGAATTGCTGACCTCTTCTTTTTTAAATTTTTAATGTTTTATTTATTTTTGAGAGAGCGAGAGAGAGACATCGTGAGCAGGGGAGGGTCAGAGAGAGGGAGTCACAATCTGAAGCAGCTCCAGGCTCTGAGCTGTCAGCACAGAGCCCGACGTGGGGTCCGAACCCACGAACCGTGAGGTCAGGAACCCCCCCAGGCGCCCCCACCTTCCCGCTCTTAAACCACAGCCCCGGAGAAACTACTACGTGCTTCCCAATCCCGGAAACTACGCGGTGAGGCTGAGGGTGCAGCTGTACTTCCGGAGAACCTGGAGCGAATGGGGTGCCCCCCAGCGCTTCGGTGAGTGGGGGGCCCTTTCATGTGTCCGCGGCGCGTGCCCATCGCGGGGGGCGCCACCCCGGGTCAGGGAAGCAGGGACCCTCGCCCGAGGCCCGCACAGGGCTCTGAAGACGCGGCCTGGGAGGAGCCATACCCCAGGACCCCCCCCCCCACCAGGGCTGGTCCTGGGGTCAACCTCGGGTCACGTCCTTTATCCCACCGGGTCTGGGCTCCTGGGCTGATCAGAAGGGTTGTGTCAAAGGAAGAGCTGCCATTTGTCCCTCAGCCATGTAGGACCCAGACCGTCCGCGCAGGCTCCCCAACAGGACAGTGGGGGCGCGTAGGGAACCTCGGTCACTGGGGTTCTGCGGCTGCGGCCATAAACGACCGCACATGTGGGGGAGGGGGCTTAAAACAGCAATCTGTCCTCTCCCAGCTCTGGAGGCCGGGGGGGAGCCTGAGACCCAGGCGGGGCAGGACCCCTGAGACCCAGGCTGGGAAGGACCATGATAATCCGGGCGGGGCAGGACCACACAGATGGGGGCGGGGCCACTGAGATCCAGGGAGGGCGTGGCCGCTGAGGTGGGGGCGTGGCCACCGAGACCCAGGCCGGAAGGGCCATGATATCCGGGCGGGGCAGGACCACAGAGATGGGGGCGGGGCCACTGAGATCCAGGGAGGGCGGGGCCGCTGAGGTGGGGGCGTGGCCACTGAGACCCAGGGAGGGCGGGGCCGCTGAGATGGGGCGGGGCCACCGAGACCCAGGAGGGGCAGGAACGAGATGGGGGCGGGGCCGCTGACATCCAGGGGTCGGGGCCAGAGACCCATGGAGGGCAGGGCTGTGCTCCGTCCTGAGGCTCCAGGCGTCCCTGGCTTTGTGCCCACGTCCCTCCTGCATCAGCCTGTCTTCGTGTGGCTTCTCGTCTGCGTGTCTCTTGTGCCCAGGAATCCTGTCTCTGAGGACAGGAGTCATTGCATTAGGGCCCATCCTCTCCCAGTGGGACCCCATCTTGATGTGATTATCTGCGGAGACTCTCTCCTGTGGACTCCGTGTCCCACCAAGTTAATACGTGGAAGCCCTCATCCCCAGGATTTCAGGGTGGGGCTGAAGTTGGAGGTGGCGTCTTTAAAGAGGGGATGAAGGAGAAATGAGGTCAGCAGGGCGGGCCTGATCCCATAGGACCAATGTCCTTGTAAGAAGGGAAAATGAGGACACAGAGAGGCACAGAGGGATGACCATGTGACGACACTGTCTACACTGCAAGGAGTGAGCCTCAGCCCTCCCCCCTTCCCCGCCCCCCACCTGGACCTCAGACTTTTGGCCTCCAGGACTCTGAAAGCAGGTATACCTGCTGTGTAGGCCGCCCTGTCTTGTGGGGCTTGGTGGGGGCAGTCCCCATAGGCCCCAAGGGGACCCTGCGGTCCTAGATAAGGGTGCCCGGAGTGCCCTGTGCGGACCACGCTGCAGGGAAAGCTCCGGGTCTCGGCTGGGGTTGGGGCTTGTCTTCTGGGGGAGGGACCCTGGCGCGGGCAGGGGGCCGCTGGCCCCTCCGGACACACCGAGAGCCCGCTGCCTCTGGGTGGGGGCGGGGGGGCGGGGAGCAGCCAGGACTCTGCGACCTGCAGACGCGCCCCTCCCCCTCCCCCCAGACTGCGACGTCGGGGACGATGGGCACTTCCGAGACTGGCTCACGTCCTCGCTGATTCTGCTGGGCTCCCTGCTGTCCCTGGGGCTGGGGGTCGCGCTGTGCGGAAGGTGAGTGCGGCGCCCCCTGTGCCACGTCCCCCCCCCCCCACCTCGCCCCTTCAGGCAGAACCGCCCAGCCGAGCAGCGCGGGCTTAGGTGGATGCTGCTTTGTGTGGGGGTCGTGGGAGGGGCAGGTTCGTGGGGGCTGCAGCCGGACCGGGGTCTCAGCAGGGGTCGGGGGGTGCAGTAGCCAGAGATGCAGGTCCGCCCCTCAGGCAGCAGCGCCCTGTCCCTGCGGACCCGGAGCACTCACTCCTGTGACCTGGGCCTGCGGGCTGGCAGTAGACACCCCGACCCCTCCCATCCCCGCAGTGGAGACCATACCCACCCAGCCCCGCCCCACAGCAGAACACCCCCCTTCCCGACCCAGCAGTAAAGATCACCTCCCCCCAGCGCCGCGGTAGAGGCCACTCCCGGCCCCCCCCCCCCCCCCCCCCCCCCCCCGCGCCCTCGGTAGAGGCCACGCCCCAGGCCCGAGGCAGCCCCTACCCCGTCCCACCCCTGGCCCTGGGGCTGGTGTCCTGCGGGCCAGACCCCCACGTTCGGGATTCGGAGCACGCGGCCCTCTCTCCCCTCCGAGGTACTCGCTGCTGCGGAGACTCTTCCCCCCGATCCCTCACATGAAGGACCCCATCAGCGACAACCTGCAGAGCAGCAAGGTGGTACGTCCCGCTTCCTGCGGGGACCGGGCCCAGCGCTCACAGCCCGGGGGCTCCCGGGGTCACGTGAGGAGATGCGCACCACCGCAGGCGCTCCTCCAGGCGGGCAGGCGCGGAACCCCAGGGCCCCACAGCCCCAGGACGTTTTAGCCTGACCGCCGCCCTCTCACCCCGCAGGTGGCCTGGGAGGCCAGCAGAGCGAGCGGGGAGGACTGCCAGGTGGCGGAGGTGCAGGTTCTGGGGGAGACCTGAGGCTGGAGCTCAGCCCTCGTTCCCGGCACAGCCGGGGCTGGGACGGCGTGCAGCTGGACCACGGGACCGGGACCGGGACCGGGACGGGCAGGGGTGGGGGTGGGGGGTGGGCCATGCCAGCGCCAAGTTCCGCGAGCTGCCACCAGAGGGCAGACAGGCTGCGTGGGGGTCGTTTCCTAAATAAAGGCGGGTTCCAGCCACTGCCTGGACTGGAGGGTGGGACCCGGCCCCGATGCGGTGGGTCCCCGGAACCCCGCTCTCGGGCCTGCTGAAATGGGCCCCGTCCACGCCGCTGCCCACTCACCTGGGTTGGAGTCCGTTCAGCGGCTGTGCCTGGTTCTCCATGACGACCCCACACCTCAGAGTTAATGAGGACGGGCCCACAGGCCCCACGGAGGACCCCACTCCCAGCCAAGGAAACGGGCATCTGGGCTGCAGAAGGGGGTCCCTACCTGTGGCCTGTGCGGGGGGGGGGAGGGGGCACACACGGAGGAGGCGGCCATGCACCCAGAGATGGGGAGGGCCATCCCGGAAGTCCTAGGAATCCCCCCCACCCTTCCCGAACCACCAACCCCTAAATGGCGAAAATACTGCTTCCGGAACGCGGAGGCCACCAGCAGACAGGCATTCGGGGACCTGATTACAAAGAAAAAGGCCTCACGGCCAAACTGAATGGAGCGTCCACAACCAGCTGAGAGTGACCAAGAACAAAGGCAGGTCCCCGGTCTGAATCCTGCACATCTGGGGGGGCCGCACATGCCGGTCCCCAGTCCTTCCGGCCCGAACACCGGCGCTCAAGTAGGTCAGGAGCCCAAGGGCCCCAGGGCGGCCGCGCAGGTCAAACGTGGGTGTAACAGGCCAGGTCCCGTCGTCGTTTTAACTGTCTCCCGCCCAAGTTTCCTCCTGTCTAAGCGGACCGTAATGGCGGCAGAAGGGTCTCCGTGACAAGGTCGTGAAAGTGAGGAGACCCGCCTTCCCCAGCCAGGACCTCACAGCCCCGGGGCGTGGGCCGCCCAGCAGGCAGGGGCCTGCGCAGCCTCTCCTACACTCGCGGCGGGTTTCAGCAAGGCTTCCGCAGGACGCGGATGCGCCCCAAGGTCCTCGCCCGAGAGTCCAGGGCCTGCGCGGGCCAGGAAGGAAGGTCTGTCTACTGAAAGGGCAGACGCCCCAGGGACCCCCACGTCTACTGGTCTTCACCACCCAGGCCAAGTCCCGTCACTGGACGGGGGAGGGGGCCCTGCGGCCGGGGTGAGGCTGTTTCCAACCGCGCTCCCCACCTACCCTGCACGCCCACCCGCCCGTGCGAGACTTCTCAGCTGGGAAAAAACCACCAGAGCCTGTGTGTCCCGTTTTTTATGGTTTTGCAGAATGCCCGACATGAAACATAATTGCAAATATTCGGCTGTGCAAAAGAGAATAGTGCTTAAGTACAAATGGAGACATGATTCTTTTTTAAATAAATACTTAAACACGACTAAGGTCCCACAGCACCTGGGCTCTAAGGTGTGCGCCGAGAGCTGCCTGCTGCGCGCCCCGAAGGCATCCTGACTCCCCTCCCCCCAACACGCGGGACCTGGGGCCACCGCGAGCCCCTTTAGAACCTTCCCCAGCCCGCTACGCACGATCCGGCCGCGACCAGGACACTGGAATTTCTCGAAGATCAATGGTCCGTAACAGTTACAAATACGTGGTCCCCAGGGTCCCGCGGCTACGCGCCTAGATGACCTTCTAGATGACCTTCTTGAGCTCGTCGTAGATCACGAGCACGAAGGCGCCGCCCATGCCCCGCAGGACGTTGGACCAGGCGCCCTTGAAGAAGGCCTTGCCGCCTTCGTCTTTGAAGATTTTCCGCCAGCAGTCGACGGTCCCCTTGTACATGATGTCGGCTGTGAGAGGAGAGACAGGTTACTTCCAGGAAGGGCGTGAAGGCAGGCACGGGACAGGGACACAACGAAGGGAGCCCCGGAGCCAGGGGGCCTTGGAGTTCCCACCCCCACCTGCTCAGGGCCCCGCCCGGCCCCCCAGGGGCAGGACTAGGGCAGAAGCACCCGGAACCCCGCCCACAGCCTCCCATAACAGTAACAAAGGACCGGCCTGGGCCACTCTGGAGAGCAGGGCGGAGGGCAGGTGCCCAGGGCTGTCGCTGCCAGACCTTCCGACCTTGCGCAGACCCGCCACCCCGTGAAGGCAGCGCAAAGAAGGCCACCCCAGACCTGTCTGCGGAGCACCTTGTGTGATGGCCCCGGCCTCCTAAAGGCGTACACCAGAAGGCCCGTCATCCCAGCCTCCCTCGCATTAACGAGACAAGGTACCTCCTTTGCGCCCGGACTGCATCATCATCCGCCGCCGCACGGTGTCGAAGGGGTAGGACACCACGCCGGCCACGGCCGTCACCGTCTGCGCGATCATCCAGCTCACCACGATGTGGGTGTTCTTGGGGTCCGGGAGCATGCCTGCGGGTCACCAACCACGTGAGGCCCCAGCGCCGCCCGCCTGTCCCACGGAGTTCCCGGGTTCGGGTCCCCGATACCAGGACAGTTCCGCTAGGGGCCTGTAGGGGTGGGTGGGGGCGGAGCCACGGGACAGTCCCACAGGCCCCTGCTTGGCGCCTGAGTGACCGCTCTCTGCAGCAGGGGCCAGAAGGGCCTTGGGAAGGGGGCGCCAGAGAGCACGACGCTGTTTTCGTGTTTGTTTTTTTTTTTAACCTTTCTGTTGAGAAGGCACGAGTGGAAAGTGGGGCTCAAACCCACGAACCAAACCGTGAGATCATGACCTGAGTGGAAGTCACGCTTCGCCGACTGAGCCTCCCTGACGCCCCCCACACAAAGGCAGAGACTCCCGGCCCTCGACGAGGCAGCTCAGCTTGCTTTCGGGGTGTGAACTGTGTTCCCCTAAAACACACCGGAGACCCAAAGCCTAGTACATCTGAATAATGCTGCAACGAAACAAGTTGAAGAACAAAGTGAAGCCTGTAAGCTGCCAGGATCCCCATTTTCTTAAGAAAAAACTGAGGCACACTTGGTCGGGTCAGCGGGCTATGTGTGGTGAATTCGGCTCGGGTCACGAACTCAGGGTTTGAGGGTTCGAACCAGTGGTGGCCTCTGCTCACACTGCCTACCCTGGTGCAATCCTGTCTCCCTCTGAAAATACATAAGCTTTAAGAAACTTAAAAACACAGAGAAAACCACCCTCCAGGCACCAGGGAAGCCCCCTCTACCTCAACCCCCACGGCTGCCTGGTGCGCCCCCCACCTGAGCCCCCACGGCCCCCCCGTGCGCCTTCCCCCGGCCCCGCGCCGCCGCCCTCACCTTTAGCTGTGTCGTACACGCCGAAATAGGCCGCCCGGTAGATGATGATGCCCTGCACCGACACGTTGAAGCCCTGGTACAGGCCGCGGATGCCGTCGGACTTGGTGATCTTCACCAGACAGTCCCCCAGGCCCTTGAACTCCCGCTCGGTGCCGGACTTGCCCACGTCGGCGGCCAGACGGGTCCTGGCGAAATCCAGGGGGTACACGAAGCACAGGGACGTGGCTCCGGCCGCGCCGCCCGACGCCAGGTTGCCGGCGAAGTAGCGCCAGAACTGCGTGCGCTTGTCCACGCCGCCCAGGAAGATCTGCTTGTACTTGTCCTTGAAGGCGAAGTTGAGCGCTTGCGTGGGGAAGTAGCGGATGACGTTGGCCAGGTTGCCCCTCCAGAAAGACAGCACGCCCTGCTCCTTGGGGATGCGCACGATGCAGTCCACGATGCCTTTGTACTGCTTGTCGGCGGCGATCTGCTTGCTGGCGTGCTGCACCTGCGGGCCGGGCGCACGGGGTTGCAGGGGGGCCTCGGGGCAGGCGCGCCCCTGCCGCGGCGCCGCATGCGGGCGCCACCAACAAACCGCGCGCGGATTCCGGTTGCAAACTGCGCGGCAACAATGAGCGCCCGCGGCGCGGAGTGCGCCTGCGCGCACGCGGCCCCGCCCCCGCGCCGGCGGCAGCGCCCACGTGACTCCACGCGCTCGGCCCGGCCCCGGAACCCGGCGGCGCGCGGACAAAGCGGCGCGGCCTCGCACTTCCGGCGCCCGCCCGCCGGCTCCAGTGCACGCGGCCGGCCGCGCCTGGTGCCCCCTCCCCGCGTCCCGGCCCCGGGCCCCCGACCACGCGCACGCGGCCCCCGCCCCCGCACACACCTGCAACAGCAGCTTAACCCGCTCGATCGGGGCCACGGCCGTCTTGGAGATGGCGGCGGCGATGCCTCCGGCCAGGAAGTCCTTCGCGAAAGAGATGGCCTGTTCCGTCATGGTGGCGGGTCGGGCGGCGAGGCAGGCGGAGTGCGGGGTGCGGGCGCAGAGAAACGGAGGGTGGGCGCCGCTGGCTCAGCCCTGCCGCCGCCGGGACCGAAAAGACGGGGCGTCCAGCGCGCAGCCGCTAAGGGGACGACGCCCCGCCCCGCGCCCCCGCCCGCCGCGTCCATTGGCTGCGCCGTGCGCCGGCGCCCCGCCCCTTCGCGCGCGCCGCGCCCCCGCGGGCTGCCGGGAGCCGCGCTGGGCCCCGCCCCGCGCCCCCGCCCGCCGCGTCCATTGGCTGCGCCGTGCGCCGGCGCCCCGCCCCTTCGCGCGCGCCGCGCCCCCGCGGGCTGCCGGGAGCCGCGCTGGGCCCCGCCCCGCGCCCCCGAGCGCCTCGCCCATTGGCCGCGCCGCTGCCGATGGCCCCGCCCCCTCCCGCGCCCCGGGGCATGGCGGGAGCCGGGCCCCGCCCATGCTCCGTAAGGTCTGGGGGCTCGGCCGCCACCGTGACCTTGTCAAGGTCACGTTGGGGACGGAGCGGTCGCGGCGCAGGGGGAAGTCTGGGGTGCGCTGGGTTCCCGCGCTCGGGCTCCTTCCAGACGCTGGAAGGGGCTCGTCCCGGTGACCGAGGCCGAGGACACCGAGGCCCGAATGCGCATCCCGAAGACGCCCGATCCCCAACTGCGACCCCTTGGCTCTCCCTGGTGACCCCTGAGGTCAGGTCTCTACTCCAGCGCCCACCCCGAGGACCTCGGGCCGAGACCCCGATCCCCTGGCTCATCTCGTTAACCGGTGCTCCGCCGCGACCCTCGGGCTGTCCCTGAAAACCCTCTCTGACACCGATCGCGACCCCTTGGCTCTCCCTGCTGACCCCCGAGGTCAGGTCGCCACCCCCACGCTCACCCCGAGTATCCCCGGGCGCCACCGATGGCTGCCCCGACCCGTTCTTAACCATGTCTCCAGAACACCCGGAGCCTCCCCCTCCGCCCCCCGCGGACACATCATGACACGCCCCCTGTCCAGAGACCCTAGACCATCCAGGCTCTGCGGGCGCTCAGACCCCCTAGAGGACCCGCCCCCGGGATCGTGGGCGTCCCGCACCCCGGATCCGGTGACCTTGGCGGCACTCACCGCAGGGGGCCCGTGCTCCCCCGGCGGCACACGTGCACACACACTTGCACGCGTGACCAGGGCCACACGCGTGCATCCGCACCGTCCTGCACCCACAGCGGCGCATCCCCGCAGGGACGCTCACCAGCCCAGATGGTTTAAAACGCTGTGAACTTTTTATTGAATTGTAACCAGACGTCGCGAGCACTAAGTGCATCATTTGCTGGATTTTACGGTGCTGTTTTCGGAAGATCAAGAAAAGGTGTTGGGAGCGACCCTCACCCCAGGCTGGTCTTCCTCCCTATTTCTTTACCTCTCTGTTCTTTCCTTTCTTCCCTTTTTTTCCGGTGTGGTTGCCTCACAGCTGTTGGGTTTCCTGTGTCCCCAGCAGCAGGTGAAAAAACGCTGGTACTGGTTGGCTCCGTGCCCGCAAAGCACCCGGCAAAGCCCGGGCACCAGTCCGCCGTGTCCTTGCCAATAACTGCCTCTGACCTCTCTTGACCTTCAGGAGACGCAGGTGAAGGTCACGGCGCCGAGGCTGGTCCAGGGGCAGTTGGGAGAGCGCCAGGCACCCTGAGCCCGAGGTTTTGGCACGAGCACAGTGTCCTTGGGTCTGTCCTCTCTTGACCTTCAGGACAAGCAGGTAAGGCCCATGGCACCTGAGTCTGGCCGTGGGGAGCAGAGGCTGGTCCAGCTGCAGGGGACAGGGTTGCAGGGGACACTCAGAAGTAGCTTAAGTACGAGAGCATCTGGGCACATGGGGAGGGCACATTCTGGCACATTCTTGGGGCTCTGCGGGGACAAGAACTGTAGAGCCTCCCAGCAGGAGCGGCCATGGGGCTGTGCGGGAGGCGGGAGGCGGCCTGGATGATGGGTGGCGACCAGGACTTAGCCCAGGCGAACGGGATAAGCCTGTCTGGGCTGCAAGGGACCCTGGCAATGATTATCGCCGCCCAGGGGAAGTGCTTCTGTGAGCCTCTTAGGTAGGTGGGAAGGGTTGGCTGCCCTTCCCCAGGCTCCCGTGCTCTGCCCGAGTCCCCAGAGGGCACCACAGAGGTCAGCACTGAGCCCCGGGGTCCCTGCAGACTGCTTCTGGAACGAAGGAAGGGACACGGTCTCTCCCTCATTGGTTATCGGTGTTCAGAACACGTTTTTCCACGGGGGTGAGACTCAGGCACTGCCCTGTTTGTCCTGAGTGTGTCTGTGTTTGGGTGTGTGTGGGGGGGTGCCACGGCCCCCCTGAACCACTAAGGCTGACCCAAGAGGGCAGCGGAGTCTCGAACACCAGAAACCGAGAACCCCATGTAGCTGGGAAACGGGAAACGACGGACCAGGGAGACCTCCCCGTGAGACAGGAAAGGCAGGGAGGATCCCTGAGGGGGGGAGAGGGGGCGGGGAGAAAGTGGGCGGGGTCCTGCAAAATGTCAAGTTTCCAGCCTCCGGTGGGGAAACTCAGAAAGGTCCCCATGGCTAGGATTGAAGCCAGCGACTGGTTGGGGCTGGAGGTCAGCCGTTGCTGGGCTATAGATGCTGGGATCTGTTTCCCCAAAGCCTTTGAAAAATGGGTGTATTAATATGAAAATTATTTTAAAAGATCATGTGTGTGGCGCCAGGGTGGCTCAAGGGGTTAAACATCTGACTTCGGTTCAGGTCATGATCTCACGGTTCGTGGGTTCGAGCCCGGCCTCCGGCTCTGTGCTGACAGCTCAGAGCCTGGAGCTGCTTCAGATTCTGTGTCTCCCTCTCTCTCTGACCCTCCCCCGCTCATGCTCTCCCCCCTCCCCCCCCTCGCCCACGCTCTTTCTCAAAAATAAAAAAATTTAAAAGAAAAGGTCATGCATTTGAGCTTAGGGTTTAGAATGAGACACTGAGGGGCGCCTGGGTGGCTTAGTCGGTTGAGCGTCTGACTTTCGCTCAGGTCATGATCTCGCGGTTCGTGGGTTCGGGCCCCGCGTCGGGCTCTGTGCTGACAGCTCAGGCCCTGGAGCCTGTTTCAGTCTGTGACTCCCTCTCTCTCTGACCCTCCCCTGCTCACGCTGTCTCTCTCTCTCTCCTAGAAATAAATAAAAAAACATTAAAAAAAAAAGTCTAGAATGAGACACTGAAATGAATGATACGGCTGGCTGTTGCGGGGGTGGGGGGTGGTGAGAGCCAGGTCTGGGGGCTCCTTTCACTACAGCCCTGCATTTCAGTGACCTGGTCAGTTGTGTGGTGAGGAGACTGTCCAAGAAGGAGCCAGACAGTCCCACACCAGGCCCTGCAAGGGAACCTGGGAAGGGGCCTTGGGACGTTGACTCCTGTGTTATGTCTACAGCCTGTGGTTCGACCCCCACCCTGGGATGAGTCCTCAGAGGAAACATCTAGAATGCCGTCGGACATCTCGCGTACAGGCTGAATGAGAGCCTGCACACGTGCGTGAATGAATGTCACCTGGGGCGTGGGGCTCAGGTCAGGCACAGAGTTCCATCCTCGAAAGCCTTCACTTCCTCACGACCACAGATCCTTGAAACACCTGTGCACGCTGTGTGCCTGACCCCTACGTTCTTCATCAGGCTCGCCTAAAGATACTTTTCACATAATATTCCTTTTTGTAAATTTTTTAAATGTTTATTTTTGAGCGACAGGGAGCAGGGGAGGGTCAGAGAGAGAGGGAGACACAGAATCTGAAGCAGCTCCAGGCTCTGAGCTGTCAGCACAGAGCCCGATGCGGGGCTCGAACCCACACACGGTGAGAGCATGCCCTGACCCCAAGTCGGACGGACTGAGCCCCAGGCGCCCCTTGCCCACCTTCTCAAATGCAACCGCCCCCCCCCCCCCCCCGTCTTGCTTTCCGCCCCGGGCCTCCCTCGGGCGGGTCCTTGGTTTCGGGCACGCGGGTAGTGGAGGTCGTTTCCAACAAGCCCGGTGTCCTTGAGGCTCCCCGGCCCGCAGCGGCCCGGGGACGGGTGAGCATGGAAGGTGCCCCGCAGGGACGGCCCCGCCTCCCGGGGTGGCGAGGAGGCTGACGGGAGGGCCAAGGTGACCGGGTCAGCGTCACCCTGCTGCCGCCGGCCGGGGCTGGCCCGTGGTGGAGGCGTCCCTGCAGACGGGGTCGGGTGGAGGGGGGGACCCGGGGCGGGAGCAGCGCTGCGTTCCCACGCCTCAGGTCACCCCTGACAGCAGCACCTTCCCCTGTGTTCTTACATGGGGAGGGGGGGGAGAGGAGGGACGGCACAGCCCCTTAGATCAGAGTTTCATTCCTTCTTCCGACCCAGCCTCCCACGGACACACAGTTTGTGATTTAGAAAAAAACAAAAAAACAAAAAAACTTGGGGGGCACCTGGGTGGCTCAGCCGGTTAAGCGTCCAACTTTGGCTCAGGCCATGATCTCACGGTTCGTGGGTCCGAGCCCCGCATTGGGCTCTGTGCTGACAGCTCAGGCCCTGGAGCTGCTTCAGATTGTGTATCTCTCTCCCTCGCTGCCCCTCCCCCGCTCATGCTCTGTCTATCAAAATTACATATAAAATTTATTTTTAATACCAAAAAGAAAAATTCGGACTCCATCCAAAACTACACACTAATGTCTGTGTGGATGTATATAATTATAATCCACAATACATACTATGTACGTTACAAGTATGTGTAGCTACAGATTTATATAAAAGATACAAATGTATGGTTTATATAAAATACATTCATATACAGGGAAAATTAATCTTCCTGTTCTTGGGTATTTTAATGTTATGTACAGTGGTTTTCGGACAGCAAGCGTGAGCGAAATCACTCCCGCAGGGTGGGCTATTGCAGGGTGTGCTTATCGGCGCTTGGGTGGCTCAGGTCATGAGCTCAAGGTTCCTGAGTTCGAGCCCCGAGTGGGGTTCTGTGCTGACAGCGTGGAATTTGCATGGGATTCTCTCCGTCTGCTCCTCCCCTGATGATGCTCTCTCCCTCCCTCAAAACTCAATATTCAAAATATAAATAAATAAATGAAGGTGTCCGTGGTTATTTTTGCAATCGTTATACAACGGAAATCACACACAAGTTGCGAGCTGGTGGGTGTTTACTTTCGCCCCAATACACAGAACACACCCGCTCCCTGAAGACGCGAGGAATTAATGAAACAGACAACGGACTTGAGCGGGAAACGGGTCGCTTGGGGACGTTGGTGGCAAAGCCGTCCTGAACTGATACACCGCCGCCTCGTGAGCCACCCGCTTCGTAAAGACACGACTTCTGGGCGGTTTCGTGGACGTGGAGGGAGGCGGCCGTGCGTCCCAGGGTCCGGGCAGAGGGTAGGAGACCTGGCGCCCCCGGGTCGCGTGTAGGGCAGGTGTCGGAAGTCACACGCATCCGGCGGAGGGCGCCCCCGGGTCGCGTGTAGGGCAGGTGCCGGAAGTCACACGCATCCGGCGGAGGGCGCCCCCGGGTCGCGTGTAGGGCAGGTGCCGGAAGTCACACGCATCCGGCGGAGGGCGCCCCCGGGTCGCGTGTAGGGCAGGTGCCGGAAGTCACACGCATCCGGCGGAGGGCGCCCCCGGGTCGCGCCTGCTGTGAGTCACATGCACAAACACGTGTAACACACGCGTGAGCGAGGAGGGTGCACAATCCTGGAGCCGGAGGGGCCGAGGCGCCCTCCCACCGCGCCCCTGAGCTCCTCGAGGCCTTTCCACGGTTGGGGGTGTGGGGTGGGGGGCGTGTCTCTACCCGGACCTCGGACAAGACCCTGCCGACCCCGCCCCGCCCCGCACGCGGCCTGCGGGGGCTCTGCGCCCACAAACGAGCTGGGAGCAAGTGCGTTTTGCAGGTTTAATCTGTGCGCTTCCACGGCGGGCGGATGCGGGTGAATGCTGCAGCTGACGGCCAAGTTCGGGGGGGGGGACCCCAGTCGGCCCCCTGGGGCAGCGCGGGTGTCGGCGGCCTCAGGGCGCCGCGGCTCGGGTGCCCAGGACCACGTGCAGCCCGTGCCCCGCGGGCGCCACCCGCACGTCGCGGAAGCCGTGCTGCTCCAGCAGGAGGCGGTACTCGGCCGCCGAGCGCTCCCTGCCCTGCGGCCGCACCAGCGCGTTCAGGGCCGCAGACAGGCTGGCGGGGGCGGCGCGCTGCTCCGGGTCCGCCTCCACCACCAGGAGGCCGCCGCCTGCGGGGAACACAGCCAAGGGGTCGGCGCAAGGCTCCGGGGAGGCGGGCTTAGGGGGACGGGCGGTCCGGACTACTTTAGGGGAGGCCGAGGGCAGAGGAGGCCAAGGCCCAGGGAGGCCGGGGACAGTGGAGGCCCAGGCCCAGGGAGGCCGAGGGCACTGGAGGCCGGGGACAGTGGAGGCCGGGGACAGTGGAGGCCGAGGCCCAGGGAGGTCAAGAACAGTGGAGGCCGACGGCAGCGCGCGGCATATTGCGGAGGTCGAGTGTAGTGAAGGCCCAGGCCCAGGGAGGCCGAGAACAGTGGAGGCCGAGCACAGCGGAGGCCGAGGACAGCGGGCGCCCGTGGAAGCAGAGAAGTAACAGAGACAGGACGGAGAGAGAGAAAACAGGCTGACGAACAGGGAACAGACAGAGGGACGTCTCAGGGCGCAACCTGGGGACGTGGAGGGGGGGGGTGCCCAGTGCGCAGGGACCCAGCCCAAGGCCGCACTGCCAGGTCGCTGCGTGCGGGCACAAGTCCGGGACAGTGGGGGCAGGGACGCAGGACCTTGGGATCAAGGTGCTTTATTACTGGGGGGGGGGGGGGGGGGGGCGGACAGACGGAGCCGCAGAACCTCAAGCCCGTTCCGCGGGCTCCGCACAGAGCCCGACAGGGGGCTCGAGCTAACGAACCCGAGCTGAACTCGGCAGCGGGGCGCTAACCTGACCGAGCCCCCCAGGCGCCCCTCAAACTGAGAGGCGCAGCAAAGGGACCAAGGAGCCAAGGGACCCCAGTGACCGTGAGTGGGAAGATGCCGGGGTCCGGGTGTCCCTCAATATGGTAACAATGTGTCTTTCAAAGTAACACATACATGGGGGGAAAGCCACCGGCTCTGAAACAATGTTTAAAATGGGCATTTTGAGGGGCGCCTGGGGTGGCTCAGTCGGTTGAGCGTCCGACTTGGGCTCAGGTCATGATCTCGCGGTTCGTGGGTTCGAGCCCCGCGTCGGGCTCTGTGCTGACAGCTCAGAGCCTGGAACCTGTTTCAGATTCTGTGTCTCCCTCTCTCTCTGACCCTCCCCTGCTCACACTCTGTATCTCAAATAAATAAACATTAAAAAAGCACACACACACAAAACGGGGCATTCTGAGCCCTCGCCTGCGGCCCCCAGGCCCGCGTGCAGGTAACCACGGGCGGGCACACACACACACACACACACGCACACACTGCTCGGGCTCCCCCTGCACTCTCCCCTCCCCCGCAAGCTAACACCTGGCATGCATGGACTGGTTAGGCTCCTGGATATTTACGCAGCGGATGCAGCCATCAGAGGAGGCGGTCAGGGCACCCCTGCGCCCTCATCCCCGCCCCCCAACCCCCTGCAGAACACACAGAACTTGGAGCCGAATTGTCTCCACCTGCGTCTGGAGGGAGACAATCCGCCCCCCCAGGGATGGCTGCAGGGTTGGGACGCATTCCTTCTCAGCTTTGCGGACGCGGGTGCTGGGCTGGGCTCTGACCCAGGCCTCTGCAGCGCAGCGCACAATCAACAGGCACAAACGTGCCCTCCGGGACCACATCTCTCGGGCTGAGCAGCTTCAGCTTCCATGTGACGCGGGTATGACGTGCGAAAACCTGCCCCTTGCTGGCAGCATGACAGCATGGTCCTGCGCTGCGGTGGCAACCGACCACAGACGGGTCATTTACTCTCCCCTGCAGGTCACAAGTCTCAGACCCGGGGGGGCAGGACCCCTGAGATCCAGGGGGGGCAGGACCCATGAGACCTGGGGGGAGGGCATGACCCCTGAGACCCAGGCGGGGCCGCTGAGATGGGGGCGGGACCACTGAGATGCAGGCAGGGCAGGACCCCTGAGATGGGGGGCGGGGCCGCTGAGATCCAGGCGGGGCGGGGCCACTGAGATGGGGCGGGGCCACTGAGAGGCAGGCGGGGCAGGAATACTGAGATGGGGGCGGGGCCGCTGAGATCCAGGGGCGGGGCCACTGAAATGGGGGTGGGGCGCTGAGGGGGGGCGGGGCCGCTGAGATCCAGGCGGGGCGGGGCCACTGAGATGGGCGGGGCCGCTGAGATCCAGGGGGCGGGGCCGCTGGGCTGGGGGCGGGGTCGGTTAGATGGGGGCGGGGCCGCTGAGACGCAGGGGGCGGGGCTGTGCTCCCTCCTGAGGCCCCAGGGGAGGGTCCTTCCCGCCTCTCCCAGCTCCTGGGGCCCCAGGGTCCCCGGGCTCGTGGCCGCGTCCCCCCGTCTCTGCCTCCGTGTTCACGCGGCTTCTCCTCTGCGTCTGCGTCTCCTCCTCCGTCTCTTACACGGACACGTGTCGTTGGATTCGGGGCCCCCCTCGTCCGGGATGAGTTCTTTTCAGATCTTCACAGATTCACATCTGCAAACACCCTGTCTGTTCGCACGTTCCGGGTGCTGTGAATGTGGGGGGCGGGAAGGGACGCACATCTGGCTGCCTTCTCTGGCACGGACGTTTGCTCATTTAAAAGAAGTTGCTTAATTTTCTCTGTGGCTCTTTTTCATTCGTTCCCAAATGCTCTGGTGGATTTGTCAAACACTGTTTCCCAACCGTCGCACGGACGTGTGACATAAATCAGCTGGGGCCCTGTCTCTTGGTGCCCGGACCACAGGCCTCGCCGCCACCCCTCCCCGGTCCCCGCCCGGCTGTCACCTGGGCCCCCACCGTGTCCGTGGTACGAGGCACTTTGGGAACCGACTCCTGGACGTCAGTCTCTACTTCCCTCCAGGAGCCTGCTGGGAATGGCAGGGGTGGGTGGGAGTCACATCGTGTCCACACACACCTATGGTCCACTTTTCTGCGTCCACTGATGTGACCCAGCAATTTTGGAATCTGTGGAAATCGGTTTCCCGGCTGAGTTTATAGCGCGGCCACTCGGTGGCGCCGATTCCTGGTGCGTGCTGCTCCTGGGTCTCTGGAATCCTGGAATTCAGGCTCCGCGACGGATAAGGGATGGGGTGGTTTGCCGGCTTCTGGCTGCGGGGGCCCCTGTGGGCCGGGTGTTAGGGCTCGTGGCTGGAGCCCGACTGGCCTCACTGTGCACACAGTGGTGTTCAGTCCTTGGCTACAGTTTCCAAGGCGTGTCCACCTTCGTGTTCACTTCGTAGTAAGAGCTTTGTTCCTCTGTGCCCGTCCGTAGTCGGGCAGACGGACTCCACCTCCGCCATCTATCCGTGTGACTGCCGCTGGTCTGTCCCACGGTCCTCATGCGTGTCTCGGGGTCCGGGAGTCATGTGCACCTGAGGAGTGGGGCGGCCGCCCGCAGCTCTCGGAGCTATGAGACCCACTGTGTCAGCCAGGGGGAGGGGGCTTTGCTGGGGAGAATGGGAGGGGGACAAGGAGCAGGCGCCAGAGGCGGACAGGAGGCATCACGGATGCCGGCCGACCCTCGACAACAAACTGTTCCCGTGCGCCCTCCACGCGGCCATGTGGTGCAGCCAGGAGCCACAGATAACCAGTGACGGCCTTCCTGGCTTTGCAGAGCATCAGAGCCCTGCAGCGGAGGGGCTGGGTATACAAGCGGTGGGGTGATGGTTAATTTTACGGGTTGTCTGGGCCCGGCCACGGTGCCCAGATATGTTGTTGAGCATCATTCTGCGTGCTCCTTGAAGACGGCTTTTGGATGAGATTATCATCCAAATCTGCGGACTTGGGGCAAAGCAGGTGGCCCTCAGGGTATAGGTGGGCCTCGTCTAATCAGTTGAAGGCACCAAGAGGAAACACACAGCCGTGCCCCAGGAGGAGAGAATTCTGCCTCCAGCCGGTGTTGGGACCAGAGCCGCCGCATCAGCTTGGCCCTGGGTCTGTAGCTGCCTGGGCCACCCTGCAGATTTGGGGCGTCCCAGCCTCCACGATCACATGACCAACTCCTTGCGATAAATCTGTGTCTGTCTCTCTCTCTCTCGAGTCCTGTTGCACTTGACCCTTGCTTTGCTCTTTTGTGTGAAATACGAGACGAAACATGAAGGTCGTTTCCGGCAAAGCGGAAACGAACTGGGGTCTGTTTTGCGTTCCCAAACCGCACAGGGAGGCAACCGAAGACCCCCGTGAGTCGCCGGGCGCTCAGGGCCCGGGAAGAAGGGCTGTGGTTTACGCCACGGGGACGTCGAAGGCCTGGGAAGGGGCCCCGGGGGCCGGGTGTGCCCTGATCCACGGCCACCTCACATACAGACTGGGGGCGTCCAGGAGACCAAGGGGCCCCGAGAACACACACGCTGCCCCTTCGTGGGGCCAGGACGGTGAGACGCGGGAAGCTGAGGCCGGCCTCCTTGAGAACGCGGCACGTCCTCGGGGGGCGGGAAAGTGCGCCCCGGCCGCTGGGGCGGGTGCTTGTTTCCTCCTCTCTTAGAAAGAGGAGGAAGGACGCGGGGCGGCACGGACTCACCTGGCTTGCAGCTGCCCGCCACCCGGCTCAGCAGCTCCTGCACTCTGTCGTCCGGCCAGTCGTGGAGAATTCTGGAAAGGATGTACAGCTGGGCGTCCGGGAGGCCGTCCTTGAAGAAGTCACCTGGTGTGAAAGCGACATGTGACGAGCCCGTCGGGGACACCAGATCCGCTCCCCCCGCTCCCCCAGAAGTGCCGTGTCCCCAACCGCGAAATGTCCAGGTCCTAACGCTGGGCCCGCGAGCGCGTCTGCCACCCGGCCGGGCCCCGGCGCTCCGAGTGTCAGCACGGGCAGGGCTGTTTGTGTGCCGGCTCCCACCTTCACACCTGCCCCCGGACACTCTCCCCCACGTGTAAGTCAAGGCTTTCCCCTTCTGGCTCGTGGGCAACTTCTTTGCCTGCCCTCGGGTGGCCGGGGACACGTGCGGACGCCCACCTGGGCCATCGCAGGTCCCCACCTGCCCCGCACAGTGACGGTGACGGCATCTAGTGCGACAGCCACTGCTGCTGACACGCCGTCCCCATGATTGCACAGGCGTATGTGTGCACACAGACCCATGTGCACACACTCACACAGACCCATGTGCACACACACAGACCCACGTACACGCACACAGACGCACACACACACAGACCCACGTACACACACATAGACCCACAGGCACATGCACACATACCCATGTACACACACAGAGCCATGTGCACACAGACCCATGGGCACATACATAGACCCTTGTGCACACACAGACCTACATGCACACACTCACAGACCCATGTGCACACACACAGACTCATGTGCACACAGAGACCCATGTGCACACACTCACAGACCCACATACATGCACACAGATCCATGGGCACACGCACACAGACCCATGTACACACACACACAGCCATGTGCACACACGGACCCACGTGCACACACTCACAGACCCATGTGCACACACAGACCCACGTGCACACACATACAGACCCATGGGCACACACACAGAGACCCATGTGCACACACAGACCCACGTGCACACACTCACAGACCCATGGATGCACACACACACACTCGTGCACACAGAGACCCATGTGCACACACTCACAGACCCACCATCACACCAAGACACATGCACAGACATTAATCGCTTGGATACCCACACGTGCAAACACACACACACACAGCGTCACATGCACGCACACTCATAGAAACAACACACAGGGACAAACATGCACACACGCACATACACAGATATAAACACATGCAAATACGCACATGTGCAAACAGACGCACACGGACACCATACGCTCAAATATATTCACGTGCAAACACAGACGAGACACACACGCGACACGCACGCACACCCACGCCGTGTAGAAGCAAGCGCAGCTGACCGAACACCGACCCGCGGCCCAGACGAAGGTACGCTTACCTGGCACGAAGCTGATCCGTTCGGTCGGCCGTCCCTCAGGGAGAAAACACGCGACGTGCTCGATGACCTCTGGGAGGTCAAACACGGTCACCTTGAGGTGCGGGTACTCCTGGGCCAGCTCGCCCGCCAGGGCACCCGTGCAGCCTGCGGGAGTGCGAACACACACACACACACTGTGTCACCTGACCCGCCCGGCGCCTACCAAACCCTGGGCGGGTCTCCAGCACTGCCCAAACCTGCCAAAACCACGGTGAGCTCTGAGGACCGGAGGGAGGCCAGCTCCGGGAAAGGAAGCCGCAGCTGGCAGCCATCTCGGGCGTCTCACCCAGGCTTCGGGGCCTCTCAGCGCACATGAGCGGGGCTGAGGGGGGCGGCCACAGACGCACACAGGGAGTCTTCAAGCCCGGCTGTGAAGGGCGCGGGGGACTGGGGGGAGATGCACTCTTACCATACTTTTCTACTCCCGGAATGTGGACGAGATGGCTGGGGCCACAGCAGCCACTCTGGGCCACCAGGAGGAAAGGTGGGAAAATGAAAGTCGGCGGCTCTGGGCTCCCCTTGGGACCCCTAATCCCACTGTGCCCCTTGGGGAGGCATCTGCCTGTCTGCTGCCCTGGGGTAAGGCCTGGGTTGGGGCAGGGTGGCAGACATATGGGCATAGGTAGGCCTGACAAGATGGGGCAGACGGGCTCTGTGCCCCTCTCCCCCCAGTGGCCGGCAGAAAGGGCCCATAACCTGTAGGAGCCATCCCTAGCACCTCCCCGGCCTGGGGAATATCTGCCCAGGCCCTGGCACCGCCACAGGCCAAGCCCCGGCCTTCAGTGCTTATGGCTTTAAGTCACTTTGGCCGTCTTCTCAGCAGGTGAGGTGCGCAGGACCTAACGCAAGAAATGCACCGAGCCGTGTGCACCCGAGTCCTGGCGGGGGCGGGGTACGCACCTCCCAGGTCGCAGGCGGAGGAGAAGCGGGACAGGTCGAAGGCCGTGGCCACCGGGCGCGCCGTCAGGCTGGTGAGGCCGTGCATGGCTCGCATGAACTGCAGCCTCCTCTCCTTGCTCTGAAACGTTCGGAACGGGATTTGAGGAGACCCGCTCGGTGCCCGGGGCGCCTGCGCACTCGCTGCGGTCCCGCCTGGCGCTTCTGCGAAGGGAGCTCGGCAGAGCCCCCCGCGGGACGGGCTTTGGGGGGAGTCAGAGCCCGTGGGGGAGGGGGTGTGGGGAGGGCAGAGCCCCCGGGGGAGGGGGTGCGGGAGGCAGAGCCCCCGGGGGAGGGGG